TTATAGTTGTATTGTGACTTGTGGAAGTGATGGTGATGTGAGGATTTGGGAAGATTTGGATGATGATGATCCTAAATCCATAAATGTTGGAGAAAAGGCATATTCATGTGCTTTGAAGGTATTAAAAACAATTACAGTAATTGATATGAAATTGCACTGCCGTGTGCTTATTTTTTATGCTTAAATGAAAAGTTGAATTGGTAATAGCTTTTTGTTTATTTCTCCTATGAAGTAATACTTAAAAATATAATAATGCCATAACTTGCCCGGAATTTTTACAGGTAAAATCTGAACGGTTTATTCAAGGTGAATAATGGATATTAATGGTGAACCAATTAAAGTATATGCAAGATGTACCGTTTTTTGTTGGTGTTTTCTTTCTTTGTTTTTGAAGAAAGGTTTAAATGTTTCTTTTAGTTTCTTTGTGGCACGACTCAGTAGCATTTTCACGTTTTGAGATATAGGTTACTTGAAGAATGAAGATATGTTTTCAGAAGGACTTTGTAAACTAAAATCTAAAAACCACTAAGCTTTTTGTTTGTGAAGAATTTTAAGTTGGGTATTCATGCGTTCCTCTTCCTCTGCTCTGACTTGTGCCCGCGTTCTGCTCCGCCATGCTGTGCTCTGAAGAGATTCACAACAGCTCCCCAAAGCAAGCCTCAGCTCCACCTCTGCTTCATGCGTCTCTCAGAGCAGGCCACTGCCCCGACCATGGGGTCTTTGCAGGCCACTGGTAATGATCTGTACAGTGCCTATGATCACACCGTGCCACCTATGGAGAAAGCGCTTGTGAATACCAACATTCAGATTGCTCTGCCTGCTGGTTGCTATGGAAGAGTAGCTCCACGTTCTGGCTTGGGGGCAAAACACTTCATAGATGTAGGAGCTGGTGTCATAGACGAAGATTATAAAGGAAATATTGGTGTTGTACTGTTTAATTTTGGCAAAGAAAATTTGAAGTCAAAAAATGTGGCTGAATTGCATAGCTCATCTGTGAACGGATTTTTTATCTAGAAATAGAGGAAGTTCAAGGTTTGGATGACACTGAAAGGGGTTCAGGAGGTTTTGGTTCCACTGGAAGGAATTAAAATTTATGCCAAGAACAGAAAATGAGAAAACATACCTTTTTATTAAAATAAGTTTTTGTTTAGTGTTTTGGTGCTGTAAACTTAATAGCTTTAGCTTCTAAAGATACTTAGTTGTCTTCTGATCAAGGAAGGGGTACTTTTTTGTGTTTTTCTGCTTTTCATGTATAAACCTGCATGGTTACCTAACAGTTTATTTTTTTCAATCAAATGTACATCAATTACAGATTCCTGCACAGTACTGTATTATTTAATTTATTAAATGCTACTTCTTCAACAACTGACTTTTCAGTTTGCTTTAAAAATGATGCAGATTATTACATAAACAACTAAAAAATAATAAAAAGTTAAAGTTAAAAAAAGAACTTTAATTTGGGTATATTATATTGGGTAGGGAAAAAAATCTTTCCACAGAATTAATATTTTTTTAAAACTCAGGCTCATTCAGGTAGATGAGATGGTCTTTAGATACTTCAGGTATTCTTTTTTAAATGGTCATATATAATGGAAAATACATTCCCAGAAGTATAAATGACTAACATGCATTAGATTGAAGCTAAATCTCACTAATAAGCAAAGAAGTACAAATTAAACAGTTGGATTTTTTCCCCAATAAATTGGCAAAAACAAAAAATACTATTAATCCCAGTGATAATGAGGGCTTGGAGTATTTGTGTGTGTATGTTTTGTTTTGTTTTTTAACTCACACTACTACTGTACTCTGAACACCTCTGACACTAGATGTGTTGATTTTTTCCCACACCAAGCAATTCTCTGCAATACCAGTTGGGTGTCCTATAATTCAGTTCAGTTCAGTTCGTGCAGACTCCACAGGGTAAGGGTTCAGTCACACGAATTTGTCCCCCACTTCAGATATCAATCACAAGTAGTAGGTCCCCAGATTACCCTCAACTTCTGTTTAACTTGGCTATAAATTACAGGTTCCCGTGACCCCCTCCTTGGGTTCTGTCATTTGCTACAGCAGTTCATAGAACTTATGGAAGCATGTTTATCAGTTTATCATATAATTAAAGATATAATGAAGGATACAGATGAGCAAACCAGATAAAGAGGTATATAGGGCAATGTCTGGGAGAGTCCTGGGTGCAGGAGTGTTTGTCCCTGTGGAGTTGATGTGCATCAGCCTCAGAGTATACGGATGTGTTCACCAACCTGGAAGCTCCTCATCCCCATTATACTGGGATTTTTATGGAGGCTTTATCACATGAGATGATTGATTAACTCCATTTCCAGCTTCTTTTCCCCTTCTCCTAGGGTAGGGGGTAGGTCTGGACATTCCAAGCTTCCAGTCATGGTTTGGTTTTATCTTTCTAGTGACTAGCCATTATCCTGAAGCTATCCAGGAGCCCAGCAAGAGTGCCTCATTGGAACAAAAGACACTCCTGTTACCCAGGAAATGCCAAGGGATTTAGGAGCTCTGTGTCAGGACTTTGAGTCAAAGACCAAACATTAGAACAAAAAATATTTCCTGTGTTCTTATCACTTAGAAAATTAAAAGGGTTTTAGGAGCTCTGTTCCAAAAATTGGGAGCAGAGATCAATATATGTTTCCTATATTTTGCAGTATTATACACAGTTGCTAGAATGTTTAGAGTATGTCGCTACTACATATCAGCATTAGAATGCACACATTGTCTTCTCCATGTCTTTGTGACTCAAATCTCATTTTTCTTAAAAAGATATCAATCCTTATTAAATCTGGAAAGACCCTATTTCTAAATAAGGTCATTCTGAGGTACCTGGGCTCAGGACTTAGAGATGTCTTTTGGGGGCCATTATTCAGCCCACTATAAGCACCGTAGTCAGTGCTAAAAATGTTTTCTTTGGCTTTAGGAATAGAGTTTATGGGACTTCATTGAAATGACATTATCAAATAGCCATGCAAAGTTGACAGTTTTACAATGTATTTTATTTAAAACGTAATTGCTTATAAACACATACTTTCTGTTTTTGGATTCAATGACACAGGAAAGTACAGTTAGATGCTTTATTTGAGAACAAAGTGGGGAAAATATCACCCTCCAAAATAGTGAAACTGGGATGAATCAATATGTTTGTGGATAGTAATACTTAATGCTTGCATAGTATTTGAGACAGTGTCAGGCCTTTTAACAGAGATACGGAGAGGTATATGGAATTGTCTTCATTTTAATCTTGGGAAAACCAAAGCTCAGATGAAGGTGAAATGACTTAGGAACACAATGGGCTCGAGCTGAGGTCGTCCTGTGCAGAGTTCCATTCCTCCCAACCCACCAGGGAGAAGAGTGGTCTGACCAAATCCTGACCAGAGCCCTGATCCTTTGGATGGCTTATTTTTTTTTTTAACTTTTATTAGTTGGCAAAGTACTGATAGTGCTTGGTTTCCCAGTAGATTTATTGGAAAATGACTTCAAAGCAAGTTTTTTTTAATTCTGGTCTTCCAGGTGAATGAGTACAGTTATATACCTTAATGTGAATAGAGAGGCTAATTAATATGCTACTAAAGAATTACCAAATTCTGTATTAGAGCTAAGGATGTTTAATCAGTATTCTACTAGAAATCCACCAGAAAATCACAGCCAGGTTACAAAATTCCTGTAGATGTACACATGTAAATAGTTGGTGTATCTGCAGTTTTGCCAAGGAACACTTAGCATCATCAGGGTTGTCTTGAATTGGTTATAGTTTTTTGTTGATTCTCTCCTTGTTTTTACATTTGAATTATTGTTAGCTTTGCTTCAACCTTATGAATTTAGTTTATTGTGGATTGTTTAACTACTTAGAGTAGTTACAGTGTAGACATAAATAGTACTTATTGCCAGTCTTCCAGTAATTAAACTTGATAAATGTATATTACAGTTCAAATGAGAATCATCTGTACTGTTACTCAGACAGATGCATGCATTCTCCCAAATTTTGCTGTTTGGTAATATGTCATTATCATCATGTTCTCTATCCACTGGAGCAGCAGCAGGTGCTATAGGCAGACTAAGGGTCCTAAATGTGCAAAATTGTGCAAATAGGACTGAGACCTATTGCTATATGATAGAATATATTTACTGATAAACTTGAATTATTTGTTTCTCTTGGAGATTATCATTTAATCTAAATGAATAAATTGACCATAGGATTTATCAAAGCTTCTGTGTGTTTGGTAGGCTGTGATTTAGTATGTTGGGACTTAATCTCTTTTGGAAAAGTAATAAAATTAAAGTACTGGGCTAGATCTTTGATCTTTTATGATTCTTAGCTAAAAGCTCTGCACAGCAGTGATATCTGCTGATCATTTTTAGACCTTGAAACTTTCTGTTTATTTAGTGTTTTTAAAAAGGCGCTGTGGATTCTGCATTTAGATTTTATCCTATTCCAGAAAGACAGGTAATACTGTGGAAACTCATGTGTGGCCATGGTGGCCATGCTCTCTGATGTGCTCGTCCCTCACTGAGACTAGCTGTGTTTTATCTGGAAGCTCTCCTATGTCTCTAAATGACACTGGTAAATTCATAAAAATACTAATTAAATATTTTTGTTAACCAGAAGTGAAAGAAAAATTAGAAGCTAAATGTTTGGCTGATGAAGGGGGAATGAACTTTTCTAAAGGTAGCAAATAAAATTTTATTGGTAGTATACATCTCAGGAAAGTTGTACATTGGTAATTTTTCTCTTGGCATGAATTATATTTGTAAGGTTTTTTGTTTGTTTGTTTATTTTTAAGGATTTTTAACTATGGAGAGATTCCCAATCAATTTAGCTTTGTTTTGCCAAAATTTCTTACCTGTATTTTCCTTTTAGAGTGGAAAACTGGTCACTGCAGTATCTAACAATACTATTCAAGTCCATACATTTCCTGAAGGAGATCCAGATGGTATATTGACTCGCTTCACCACAAATGCAAACCATGTGGTCTTTAATAGTGATGGTACAAAAATCGCTGCTGGATCTGGGTAAGGCTCTTTGATACCAGAAAAGGAAATAATGTTAGATCAGAATGGCGTACTCATTCATTGCTTTCAGGGTAACATTTTTCAGGACTCTCTTCTTTATTGTTCACTTAATTTTTATATTAAAATCTTTTTAAGTAGTAAAGGTTTTTGAGGACACACTTGTGCTTCTTGTGAATGGAGATGTGTATATTGCTTTGTAGATCATCTATTTAGTAAATGATGAAAAAGATTGGGGAAGGTGATAGTTTGGTACAAAATTTTAAAAAACTATTTTAGGTAGAACTGGGCCTGTACAGTCAGAATTTTTATGCTTTCTCTTGATGTTTATTTGTCATAGAAAAAAATGTAATTGGTGAGCTGCTGAGGTGGAATAAAAGGTATAGCTTTTTTAAAATTGGTGTGACTGTAATTTGATTAGCAAATAACAGAAGGCTAAAATGTAACTATGAAAGCCTCTTAGGAAGTATTTATATTTTAACATAATTGAAAATCTTGACTTGTGTTCTTATCATCTTTATAGAGCAAAACTAAAAGATCAGTCATTAAATTTGGCTGTCAAATTTCACAAATTGCTGTAGAGAAATTATGGCATTCTTGTAGTTTTGAAATATTTGAGTCAGTTTTTAGGAGAGTCTTTTGCATTGGCATTTATTCATGTACATCACTCTTATTGTTCATAGTGACTTTCTAGTTAAAGTTGTAGATGTGATGGATTGCAGCCAGCAGAAAACATTTCGAGGACATGAAGCCCCTGTTTTAAGTCTTTCCTTTGATCCTAAGGATATCTTTCTGGTAATAATTTTTCCCCTTCTCTTTTTGCATTTTTCTTGATTATGTTTAAAATTGTAATGTTTAAAATTGTAAGAGAATTAGAAAATTTCACAGTTGCTAAGAGGACACTTTGATTTATTAATTGAACCAGTTTCCATGTAGTATTACGGCTGTAACTGTAGAGAAATCTATTGTTTTATTCCTGCAGGCATCAGCTAGTTGTGATGGATCTGTCAGAGTGTGGCAAATTTCAGATCAGGTAAACTCATTAATTTGAATGTAAGACGTTTTGCTCATTTCCATAATATATTGAGTGTTACATATTGTGTTGTTTAGTCAAATTTGTAATTCTTTTTCTTTTTGGTTTGTTTCTTTTGAGTAGCATTAAAAACTGTTTTTGTGATCAAATTCCATAGTAATGTAGTGCAAAAGTAAATATGTTGAAGACTAACTGCTTCTGTACACGATCACAAGAGAAATGACAGATTTATATTTCATTTTTAGGTTTTATAAATCAGTGGGGAAAATTCAGTCATTGTATTTACAAACTGATTGCCATCACTTGGGCCCTAGATGTTGGGGATACAAAAATAAAAAATAAAGCTTGGGCCACACTTGATTTGGAGAGTCACAAAACAACTGTTCCAACCCAGCCCAATATAAGTTTTTTTCTTTTTGTTTTAAATCATTGCTTGTGGGTTTTTGTTTGTTTGGTTGGTTTGTTTTGTTTTCTATGAAGGTTTTAAAGGAGGTATGAAGAAAGTGCCCTCCAGATTGGCAGAGGATATAATTGACTCTTCTTCAGGCAATCAGAGAGGCCTTGGCATTTGTAGAGATGTGGCTGATGAGAAAACTATTCCCCACAGTGATGCTTCCATAGCCACACTTTCTTCCCCTCATTCTTGAACTATTTAGTAGGGCTGACTTTGACGCCATAACATTATATAGTAGATCTCTAAAGTTTGTTTTCGTAGAGACTTCAAGATTTTAATATATTGGGGTTTTTTTGTGTGTGTGTATGTATGTTTGTACCATGAGTATAGTGTTTACTTACTCTACAGAGGAAATTTTTTTTTAATTTATTTAAGTTTATATTTAAATTTATTTAAATTTATTTTTTTAAATTTATTTAAATTTAATAAATTTATTTATTAAACTTATGCTCTTTATACCTCTGAAGGACTTAATTTAGATAAATCAAATGTTATTATAACTAAAGTGAATTAAGTTGCCTTTCTCTGAGGTATATATGAATTTAAGTAATCCACCTATTAAATATATTCAGTTCTGTATATCTTTTGGGAAGAATTTTTTTGAAGGGAAATAATTTTTTTTTTTAATCAGACTTGTGCTATTAGTTGGCCACTGTTACAAAAATTCAATGATGTGGTAAACGCAAAATCAATCTGCAGACTTGCCTGGCAGCCAAAAAGTGGGAAGGTAAGTGACTTATCTTTGAACCTTTTAAAAAATTATTGTTTCAATTCTTACCAAGTTTGAATGTAAGAATAGTTTTTAAATTGTAACTGTTTTATTTGGATTATAAATTTTTGAGCCCCAGGCCAACTAATTAATATTGAAATGCTTTAAGAAACATTTCAGCTTTTTAAAGAATCTTTTTAAAAGAGGACATTTTGCATGAATGAGTTTTATATTCTTCTTTAAATTCATGTTTAATGGAATGACTCTGGAAACAGTCTTTTTGTGTTCACTTTTACCACCAGTATTTAACATTTTGGAGGTGTACTAGCAGGTAGAGTTAGACCCTAGAAAGGCATGAGAGGTTTGGATGGAGGAAGGAGAAAGTGAAATGCTTGTGTTTAAGGAAATTTCAAGAAAATGAAATGAGGGGAAATATTAATAAGAAAGTTGAGTAAGGTAGCTGTAAGCAAAATTAATATTCAAAACTATGACAATCTTATATACAAACAATAGCCATTTAGAAAATACAGTAGGATAAAATAACTAGGGATAACTTAGTAAGAAACATGAAAGATATTTATAAAAAGAACTTTAACATTCTAGCAAGAGGAGTTAAAGACTTGTTAAATAGAAAAATATATCCCATTTTTAGAAAGGAAATTTTTGATATAAATAAAGATTTAGTTCTTTCCTAAATTATTCTATAGTTCAGAAAACATTCAAATATGAAATATCAGTAAGATTTTTGGGGGAATCAGATAATGCTGATTCTAGAGTCCATATGGGAAACTAAAGTCTTAAAAAAGAAAAGTGATACAGAGTCTAGCTCAGTGAGATATACTATGATGCTATGGGAATTAAAAGATTATTGCTGATTCATGAATAGGTAGATAACCTATTAAAGAAATGGAGTGAATATATATGGGAATTCAGCATATGGTAAAGGTGGAGTAAAGGAGATTTAGTAACTGTATTGGCAAAGGCATGAATACCAGGAAGTGAGAATCATTGAGGACTTTCTTGGAGGCTTCCTACCACATGGTGAATTGGCTGTATTCTTTCAGCTTTTATGTGTGTGTGAAAGTGAAGATTAATAAATTTAATATTATAAAAAGTAAATATTTTTATATGATTAAAAGATATTTCAGAGTCAAAGGACAAGTTTGAAACAATGTGACAAAACTAATTTCAATAATATACAGAATTCTTACAAATCAGTAAGATCCAAATAGAAAGATGAGGGGAACACCCCATGAGATTTATGAATTACTTAATAAAGCTAATTAAGTCTTCAAAAAAAGGGAAATATTGGACATGAGCAGAATATATATAGAAAAAGATAATACAGATGGCTTTTAGCATGTGAAAATACGTTCAGCCTTTCATACTAAAAGATACAAATTGAAGCTATAGTGAGTCTATTTTTCATTAATCAAATGGTCAAAGATCAAAAGTTTGATTATATGCTATGTGGAAGAGGGCTAGTTTTTGTCAGAATTAAAGACCTACAGTACTATATCTCGGCTCATGTTTTATAAGCATATTTATGCATATGTACTACAGGGTACTTATAACAAAAATGTTGCACCATTGTTTATAGTAGCAAAAGATTGGAAGTATCCAAAATCTTCATTAATAGGGAATTAGTTAAATAAATTGTGGTATTCCTGGAAGTAGAATACTCTACAACCGTTAGAATGTGATATATCTGTATACTCTCACATGGAATAATCTTCAAAGAAATTAAGTAAAAAACATCACGCTATAGAATAACAGGTATAGAATAATGCTACTGTTTATTGTGTGTGTGTATACTTGTATATATGTACATATACATACTTATATAGCCTATGCTTATATTTGCCTTTGGGAAGTAGAAACAGAATTTAGGTATGGGAAAGAGACTTGCTTTTCAATATATTTCCCTTTGTGTCATGTGAACTTCTAAGAAGAGAGTACATTCTGCATTAAGGTAATAAATAATTGGGAGAATCTAGTATGCATTTTTTCTTTTCTTACAAAACATTGATTAACCTGATTCATTTTTTTTTTAAATGTTTTTTATTTTCAGTCCTTATTCGAGGACATTTTTTTCATTGCTTTTGGAGAGAGGAGAGAGAGAGAAACAAACATTGATGTGAGAAACATCAATCAGTTATCTTCTCATAGATGCTCTGACTGTGGATTGAACCCACAACCTGAGTATGTGCCCTGACTGGAAATTTAATCCATGACCTTTTGGTTTATGGGATAATGCTCCAGTTAACTGAGCCACACTGGCCAGGGCTGATTAATCTGGTTAATTTAAAAATTAATAAAATTAACATAGTTTTCTTGTTTGGACATAATACTTTAAAAAAAAAACATGGAAAAAGTATATTATTTTAATTTTTCTACTAGTCTATTTCTTTGGAAGAATACATAGGAAGATAAATTTCCTTAGGATTTTCAAAGTATCCTGGCTCTACTTCTTTTCTTCCATTAAATGAGATGAATTTTTAGATTCAAAAAGCTTAGATACCTTAAAAAGGTAGTATTAAAAATACTAGTAACTACAGGTACTCTGTTTTTCAATGCAAGCAATAGAGACACCATCTCCTGTTTACTGCTTATCAAAATTTTAAGTAATTTTCTGAGTTTTGTTAGTTGCCAGTTAAAATATAAATTTGCTCTTATGTTCTGAAAGCTTTTTTGGATGAATTTTATGCCTTTTTTTCCCTTCAAATATAACATAAACTTTTCTTTAAACCACACTTTATCTTTTCTAATAGTTACTAGCAGTTCCTGTGGAAAAATCTGTTAAGCTATATAGAAGAGAAACTTGGAGTAATCAATTTGATCTTTCAGATAACTTCATCTCTCAGGTAGGTTTTGTAAGTGACACTTTCAGTAGGCTAATGGGAATATATAATGCATATTTTGTCTAAATACAATTGCAGTTAAACATTGTTAGAAATGGAGAACAACTCTAGATGGTTATGCATGTGTCCACCTTCTGCATCTCAGCCTTTCTTCACTTAGCCAATAACCGGACAACAGGTAGGACTTTGCTAGGTCCTGTTTGACCTTTCTTCTTTGTGAAATTTGATAAAATCTTTTAATTTATAAGAAGTCAGATTTAACCCTAGCATAGTATTAGAACAAGTTATTCTCACATTTTCTGTAATTGATCTTTATTTTTTAAATGAGTTTTACTGAGACTTACAGTCATAGACTCTGGAATTTTAGAGCAGGGAAGGTTGTTGGTCTGTCCTCTCCCCCCCCGCCCCGCCCTCTTTTTCTCCCTTTCTCATACACCTATTTTGCAGTTAAGGAAACAGGGGCTCAATAGGTGAGCAATAGTTTTCTAAGGCTCACTTCGCTTATTAGTTCTTTTTCTTGATGGTGACTGCTTAGAGGATATCTTGTGTTTATCTCTCTTCCCAGGATAATATTTTTAAATTTTGCTCTTAAACTTGTGCCAGTATAATTTCCTCATGATAAATTCATAGCTGCTAGTGATAGTTGAAAATTATTGAAAAAGAAAGAGGCAAACTTTGTCTTGCCATTTGTGTATCAGATCTAATTAGAAATTACATGTAATACATTGAATAAGGGTTATAAAAATTTGAATTTGGTAAGGCGAGTGTTTAGTTTCAAATTATACAAAATTGTTATTTATTGTTTTTCTTTATAGACCCTCAATGTAGTAACCTGGTCTCCTTGTGGGCAATATTTAGCTGCAGGGAGTATTAATGGTTTGATTATAGTTTGGAACATGGAAACTAAAGATTGCTTGGAAAGGTATGATATGATATATTTTTTTGTCTCTTTCTTACTTATTTCAAGTAGGTTTTTGTTTTATGAAACATTTCAAATTTGTAATTATTAGATTGTTGAAATGTAAACAAAAACCTATTAGTCTGCCAAAAGTCATGTAACCTTTTATTGATTATTTGACCATTTTGGTTTTCTTTTTAAATTTTATTTTTAATTACAGTTGACATTGAGTATTATTTTATATTAGTTTCAGGTTTATACCCTAGTGGTCAACTATGTAATTTATGAAGTGATCCCCTGATAATTCAAGTACCCATCTGGCACCATATGTATTTATTATCTTTTAATCTTTTCTACCTAAAATTTATCTAAAATATGTATAGTTTATACATGTTTCTTGACAGTGTTTTAAGAACTTACTTTTTAAATTTTTAGGGTGAAACATGAGAAAGGTTATGCAATTTGTGGCCTGGCCTGGCATCCTACTTGTGGTCAAATAGCTTATACTGATGCAGAAGGAAATCTAGGACTCCTGGAGAATGTTTGTAACCCCAATGGAAAGATACCAAGCAGTAAGGTAATAAGTAATATGGTAGAACAGTTTCTTCAGAGTCTTCCTGTGGTTATGTGGATTTTGAAAGCACCACAAACTACATTATTTTCTTGGAAAATGGCAATTTATGTGACTATGTTCAGTAATGATCCTATAGTAAAGAAAATTGGTTAATCTTGTTTAACCTAATGTTTCCCAAATATAAACTAAGGAACTGTTTTCCCTCCATATAATGCCTATTAATATTCTTTGACTTTCCAAGGAATACCTATGTGAAATACTGTTTTCCTGTCCTGTTTTTCTGGGGATTGTTAGTTAAATACAGGCATGCCTCAGACATACAGTGGGTTCAGTTCCAGGCCACTGCAATAAAGCAGATAGCATATAAAGTGAGTCACAAATTTTTTGGTTCCCCAGTGCATGTTAAAATTATGTATACACTATACTGTAGTTTGTTAAGTGTGCAATAGCATTATGTCTTAAAAAAAAGTACATACCTCACTTAAAAATACTTTATTGCTAAAAAATGTTAACCATCTTCTGAGCCTTCAGTGTGTTGTAGTGTTTTTGCTGATGGAGGGTCTTTACCTTCAATTTGTAAAAAATATATATCCTGTGAAGCACAATAAAATGAAGTATGTCTATAAATGTTTTATAGCTAAAAATTAAAGTTAATTGTAACTTAGTATTGGCTGATAAACTTTTTCTGCTTTGAATTAGCCTTAACTCTTAGAGCTACCCATATATCTCTTAGGCTTAGCCATGTAGCCTTACTAAAGGCTTGCTTTAAACAGTCGACTCAAGAAAAAAGTAAAAAAAGAAAGAAAAAACATTCCACCTTGTTTTATACCTCTTTGTTTTTGCTTATTATTCTCCCTATCTGGCAGATATGCCCATTCATATTTCAAGTCTTGGTTTAAACTTCCAGTTAAAGATTGCAGACTTTATACATGCTTTTGTTTCTGCTCAGGTACCTGATAACTGAAACCCCCGACTAAAACTATGCTAAAGGAATTTTAATTTATTTTTAAAATTTTTAAATTTTATTTATTTATTTTTAGAGAAAGGAGAAGGGAGGGAGGAAGAAAGGGAGAGAAACATCAATCAATTCACTGTCTCATGTGCCCAAACCAGGGACTGAACCCACAACCCAGGCATGTGACCTGACAGGGAATCCAACCTGTGACCCTTCTGCTTTGCAAAATGATGCCCAACGAACTGAGCCACACTGGTTAGGGTTAAAGGAATTTTTTAAAAATGCACAATCCCATAAGGCCAAGGAAGACAGTTGAAGTGATAATGATAATATTTTGGAGGCTGGAAGATAGGATGATTGGAAACTGACTTTATCTTTTCAAAAAATTGAACCCTAAGAACTCAGCAGTGAAACTGAGGTACAATTCAGTTTGCATGGCTGACACCCCAAAGATTCAGAATTTGATAGCACTAGGTACTTCTGAAAGTGGGCTGAAAACAGGAGGGTTGTTTTAATAAGCAAGTAGATCCCTCCAGTCTCAACATCAGTGTGCACAGCTAGGTAACTCCCCTTCCTCACCCCCATACGCATTCTGATAGGATGCTGGAGATTTATTCTTTAGTAAAGGTACAATAGAGAAGATCTTTGGTCCAGACACGCTTTATAGTTTACTGGCATTAGGTGAAGGAAGAATACTGTGCTGAAAATGATTAAATAAAACTGTATATGCTTAAGTGTTGAAATACCCAGTTTACTTTTTGTACTTAGCTTCCAAAGCATTGTCAGCCAGTCTTATATGCTTTTCAGGCAGGAGATTGGAAGAATCATCTTAGGGGAATTTGTTCAGGGGAAAAAAGGTCTAAAGAGAGAAAGGATTCTTAACTGCAGGAAAGACAAATAGTTGTAAAAGAAAGGAAACATCATAAAATAATACACTATGTCTGTAAATGAGAATAGGAATAATGCCAGCACCTAGAGTTATTTTAAGGATTAAATAAATTATGTATAAAGAATTAGAGATCAAAAAAGAGTGATAAGGAAAAATTCATGTGAATTTTGCACCCTTGTGGTTGGAAGATCAAGGCAGTTCCTAGAGAGCTAGAGTGGTCCTCGGAAGCTCTTTAATGGAATGCAGGAGACATTGCCTCAGTAAAAGATCTGATTAATCTGATATCCTTCCTCAATACATTTATAATAACATCATTCTTCAAACACCAGAAACTTAGAATCACACACCCTACAAGACATCCAGAAATAATTCACCAGGTGAGTGTTGACAGTGAAGGAGTTTGAGATCCTGCTGAGGTATATAAACTGCTAGGACCGTGTAAGTGGTCCAAAGACCTAAAGGTAGCATTGGTGTAAAGAAGACACAGTCGGACTGGGAAAAAGTAGCTTTTAAAGATTTTTCTGGAGAAAGGTACACACTCAAATGATTAAAAATTTTTTGTAACTTGAGATAGATGTGCTCTTTCAAAGAATTAGTCGTGGAAGCTAAAGAATATGTTAAAAATTCCTAAAAAGCAAAAAATGCAAGAAACATCCCAACTTGTCCAAGAAGCCCATGACTGGTTACCTCTGCTTCTTCAAGGAGAAGTGGCTCCTGTTCTCCCAAATGCACCCCCAACTCAGGAACCAGGAGCTGACCAAGGTCCTGTCTGAGAAATATAAGGATCTCCCAGAGCAGATGAAGCTGAAATATATTCAAGATTTCTAGAAGGAGAAACAGGAGTTTGAGATGAAACTGTCTTAATTTAGGAAGGACCACCCTGATACAGTCCAGAACTCCAAGAAATCGTTTGTCCCCAAAAATCCCAACCAAAGCCCAAAAGAAGTTTCAGAAAAATGTGAAGGTGAAGCTCCCCCAGAAAACTGTTTTTAGGAGAAGATAAAATTCCATGGAGAGCCCTGGCTGGGTGGCTCTGCTGGTTGGAGTGTTGTCCCGTACACTGAAAGGTTGTGGGTTTGATACCTGGTCAGGGCACATACAGGAAGCAACCAATTGATGTTTTTCTCCCACACCTCTCCACACATACATACATACATACATACATACATACATATATCCTTTATTTCTCCCGCTTCCTCTCTCTCAAATCAATAAAAACATGTCCTTGGGTGAGGATTAAAAAATAATAATAATTCCATGGAGAGACCAAGAAGCTCCCAGTGAACAAATACCGGAAGTTTTACCAGGATTTGTAGTCGAGTAGGGAGTTGCGAGACCTGGCCCTGAGGGGGTGAATGGTGGAGACTGGCAGACGCTGGCAGCACATCCTGCAGAGCCAGAAGTATCTTTGAGAAGCAGGCTGACGAGCTGCAAACAGTGCAAGGTAGACTGGGGATTATTGGCTCAAGAGTTTATCTCCTGAAGAATAGCTGCTTACTGAGAGAGACCTTACACTAAGTGAAGAACATGAACATGAAGCAGGCCAGGATGCTAAGATCTTCAGGACTGTTGTGTAGCCTCCTCCATCAGCAAGGGCTCTGCAAGAAGGGCTTGGACAGGAGTCGGGGCTGCAGGTTCTAGAGACAGAATCTTCAGAGACTCTGGAGGCCATTCTCATGACTCACGGGGAGCAGAAGAAAATTAGGAAGATGTGTAAAAGGTAAAAGGCAGTAGCTCCTCAGACTTCAGCAGTGGTGATGAAGATGAAGAATGTGAGGGTAGCAGCTCCAATTAGTTTGGTAAAAATATTTTTTAAAAACTGGCCTGGAGCACTTTGATTGATTTTAATTTCGTGGTTGATTTATGGTGTGGGGCTGGCACTCCTTGCTCCCGAGATATCCCTCCCGTTTTTATCCACTGCACATGGGTGTGGGACCAGCCCCTTCTGCATCTCCACCCCCCACCCCCCACACGGCTGGATGGATGTGGTTTCTTTAATTCTGTAGTTGTCAGGCTTTCATTAACTTGATTTCTTACAGTTCTGGGTGATGATTATTCTGTAATTTAGTTGTAATTTTGATGTTTTTGTGCAAGAAGGTGAGCCGTGTTTACCCATGCTGCCATCTGGCAGCTTTGGGAAAACCCACCTTGTGGATTGTGACCCCAAAAAACTTTTTGACCAACTTGAGTACATAACCTCTTAGGAGTATAAATGAAATAGTTATATATCATCTTACAGCATGTAGTTATTTAATTACTCATATCAAATCCTGTGTTTAAATATATGAATTTAGAAGTATTTTTTTTTGTTCTCTCATTTTATTAAACAACAGTTTTCCAGAACTCAATCATACGTACTTCCGTCTAAAAGGTTTATGATAGTTTCTTTTGAATTTATTAAGGATGTTCTCATAGAATTTTGTACCAAACTATAAGTTTATATTGGCTTAACATTCGTACAGTTTTCATTCATCCTGTAGGAGGAATTTGTGATCTCTACAATATATCTGCTTATTATTTTGCTTTTTAAAGTGATTGCAGAAACTCTTCATAGTGACATTCAATGCATGCAATGGTATGTTTGTATTCCTAGGGATCAGTGATTAATTCTGTTGAATATCTTTGCCTCCTTTGTTTTTCTGTTGGTTCTGTTCTGTTTACTTCTGTAAGCATCAAAGAAATGAAAACTAGCTTTAACTGAGATCATTTAAAGCAAATATATCTTACCTAAGTAGAATTTTGTTCATAATAAAAGGAAATGAGAGAATAACTTAAAATTAGGGACTTGTAGGTGATTTCTTTTTCAGTAAATGACTTGTAGGGAGTAAAATCTTGTTTTATATTTGGGTATATATACAGTATTTCTTTACTTGTCTGTCCTACACTCTTGCCCTTTGTAACCTGTCAGGCATTTAAAGTAAGGACTAACTCTTACATAAATATAATCCTCATATATACACTTATTAATTATTCTTATCAGGACATTTGCTTAGTAGAGTTTATAGGTGCATATTAAAAGATTGCCTTTTGAGTAAAGGAAGGGAAGGGGAAAGTAAAAAAAAAAAAGATTGCCTTTTGAGTAATTGAGTTTATCAAAATGGTTCACTAATACTTTCTAATTTGAATTAATTTATTTAAGGTATATAGCAGAGTGGAAAAGGATTACAATGATCTTTTTGATGGAGATGATGCAAGTAATGCTGGTGATCTTCCAAATGACAGTGCAATTGAAACCTCCTCTTTTTCAAAAGGAGTTATAAATGATGATGAGGATGATGACATCATGCTGGCTTCAGGTCGTCCTAGGCAGCAAAGTCACTTCCTAGAAGATGATGAAAACTCAGTTGGTATGAATTGACTTGTGGATGTGACGATACATCCTGTTGATTATTCAATTTTTTATTACAACTAGTATTTAAAGTCATTATTGATTTTGTTGAATGTAGTTAAAACAGTAGGTAGAGGGACATTTGTAACATTAAATACTTACATTAAGAAAGGTTTCAGATCAATGAGCTAAGTTTTTTCTTTAGCAAACTAGAAAAAGAAATTAACCCCAAGCAAGAAGAAAAAAGGAAATAATAAAAAGCAGAATTCAGTGAAATTGATTACAATAAGTATTTAAAAAGTCAATGAAATGAAAAGTTATTTCTTTGAAAAGATCAATTAAATGGATAAATCACTATCCTAACTGATCAAGAAAGACAGACAAAACACAAATGACTGATAAAAGTAATGGAAAATGGGTCATCACCATAGATCCTAGAGATCTATCTACACTGTTCACTATGGTAGCCACTAGCCACGTGTGGTCATTGAACACTTGAAATGTGCCTAAGAAAGGATGTTAAGTGTATGATGCAACCAAATTTTCAAGAATAGTACGAAAAAAAGAATGTAAAACATCTAGTCATTTTTTACATTGAGTACATGCTGAAAGTGTATTTTAAATGTAATATATTATTAAAATTAATTATCCTGTTTTTACTTTTTAAAATATGGATACTAGGAAATTTTAAATTATGTATGTAGCCCACATTATGTTTCTGTAAGACAGCACTGCTGTTAATATCAGAGTGCCTATTGCAACAACTAAAGTAACACATTTGAATGTTAACAAGTAAAATGCCAATGTATGGCAGTAAATTGTGCTACATTTAAATCATATTTGGTTTATACAACAGTAATGTTTAATGATTTAGTCTCAAGAGCTCATTATACTGCTATATATTGTTTTTGCTGGAAGTATAGGACTAAAAATCAGTCCCATACAAATGTATAGTTTGAAAAGGAAGAAGTATTTTAAGAGTCTGTTCAAATAATTGTGGACATTCTTCTTTGATACTGCACACAAAACTCAACACTTTGAAGCTTCTTAAATATTACTTGCATGCTCGCTTTGGCAGCACATATACTAAAATTAAATATCACTTGCAATGTGGAATCTGAAAACTTTTCAATGAACTTTTCAACTCTATTACATTAAAGTCCATTGGTCTAACATGAACTTTGAATGACTCTTTTACCATGTTTGATTTTATAACATATGCATTGGTAATTTGGTAAATACTGGTTTACTGAGGTTTGTGGACCTTCCTAAAATGTGTGCATTTTCCAAAATATATTTGTTAGTATCACCAATCTACTCAGAAGTTTTTAAATATAGGGAAGCAAAGAAGCTTCTGGTGGTGGATACAATATTCTGATTTTTGTTTGTAAGCTCCAATTTTATCATTGGCAGCAAATTCTGTCAGTTACTCATTTTTAAGAGAATGTTTGCCAAATACCCAAGTCTGTGTAATCATAGTTTATTTGGCATTATTTCAAGTAAAAATGGTATTTCATGAAAAAAACAGTTCAGCTTACAACTCAATTGCTAAAATGCTTTTTTTCTTTTTTTTTTTTAAGACAACTGTCATACTTCATGTTCCCATTTTAGCACAGAAAACATTTTTAAAAATCTGTGCAGGATAAAGATTTAATAAAATTATGTTTTACTGCAATTGAGTGGTGGTTAATGCATTGAGCAGGCTGGTACCCCTGACTTGATTAATGCTAAGGCACCAGTAGTTTTTCCCTCCATTGCTATTGCATCATTACTGCAAATATGAACACAGTGAAGAAGCAAATAACATGTTAGTATTACTAAGTATGAGTGAAAAGATTATTAGATTTCATAATGTTTTTCTTTTTCCAGATCATTGGTATTTATGACTCTCTAATTGTAATCCTTTGTATTTTAGATATTACAATGCTAAAAACAGGTTCTAGTCTCAAAGAGAAAGAGGAAGAGGATCAAGCAGACAGCATTTACAATTTACCACTTGCAACATCCCAGAGGCCATTTTATGATGGGCCTATGCCAACTCCCCGGCAAAAACCATTTCAGTCGGGTTCTACACCCTTGCATCTCATGCACAGGTTCATGGTAAGCCTTGGATCTGCACTTCTAGATAGTTTTATCACACATATAATCATTTTCTCTCACTATAGCTAATTAGTTTGGTAAAAATATTTCTAAAAAACTGTCCTGGAGCACTTTGATTGACTTTAATTTTGTGGTTGATTTATGGTTAACTCACAGCCTTAGTCTTATTTCAACTTTATTAATGGAAATTGTGTTATAAAATTTGCTCTGCAAAATGATATATAATGAACCTAAGTAAATGTGACAGAATATACTTCTAAACATTATTTCTCATATTAGTTTTTATATAGGAGATTATACTAATCCCAAAATACTACTTAAAAGGTAGTTTTTTAGAAGACAACCCTTATAGTATATTAGGTGATACATCTATGAAAAAGAACTATCTGCCCCTTTTCCCCACTCTACCCCACTGGAATGTAAGTTCCCCAGGGATAAAGATTTTTCTGTTTTGTTTGCTGATAGCACTTAGAACAAGGTATGCACAGTAGGCCTTAAATATATATTTCCTGAATGAATGAGTGAATATTAGTTTTTTGTTTTAAGTTCTAGAGCTAAAAAAGTTTAATATTTCAGTTTGTTCATTATTTGAGGTTTTCCACTGAGGACTTTGCTTGTTGTCCTTTTTGAAAGGTATATGCCTGGCAGAAATTTGTATGTAAATATTAAAGATTGTATTTTATTTTAATAAAGCTTTACGTCAGTAACCACCATCTAGTAATAAATCTTAATCTTTGATTATTGTTAACTATTTTATTTATATAAAGTTACATTTATGGCAGAAGAAAGGAAACACTAGGGCCTCTTGTGAGCCTATGGTATAATCAGGGGAAGATAAGTTTTCCAAAGTAATATTGATTTATTTTGCCTTAAAATGTATATATTTATTTGTATAATATAAACCAGTTATTTGGAACAGAAAAATATGCTGTCATTTGAAATCATACTTTTTAAGTAAATAAATTTTTGAAATGTCTTCTTTTGAGGAATATAATGGTTTGGTTGTTCAAAGGTCAGTTATAAAGTTTTTTTTTTAATAACAGAAATGTAATTAAAAATGATAAATGAAATACTCCACTTCCTAATAAATTTTTGTTATATGTCACTTCTTCTCATGGGGAGAAGAATAATTAGTTATTGTAGCTCTGATGTTACTACTGTTACCTGAAACTATTTAGAGGTAGATGAGCTGTGGTTGTTCCTATAACTTAAACCTTGATACAGACTGAATTATAATATTTGCTAATTTGTACCATTTTAGGCTACTGATTCTCAGAGTTTTGGTTTTTCTCAGACTTGTATTTAACCTTACATGTTTGTAGGTGTGGAACTCTGTTGGAATCATTCGCTGCTATAACGATGAGCAAGACAATGCCATAGATGTGGAGTTCCATGATACCTCCATACACCATGCAACACACTTATCAAACACTTTGAATTACACAATAGCAGATCTTTCCCATGAAGCTATTTTGTTGGCATGTGAAAGCACTGATGAACTAGCAAGGTAAATTTGAGATTATTAGGAAGAATTTGTAACTGTTGAACTGTTAGATATGAGTGTTCAAATTCAGTACAAGAAGTTAGTAAAACCAAATTATATCTTTTATAGTGTGGAATTTCAGAATGAAGAATTTAGTAGAAATACCAGCTCACCCGTAATACCCCAGAACATGTCGGTGTTGGCCTAATTGTCTCCTCGGTATATTTTCTAACTACGTGTCTAAATGGCATGACATGATTTGTAATGCAAGACAAATTGGACTACTTTTTACATGTTGTTGTTTTTTATTAGTATAAGAATAATACATATTATAAACAAACTTAAGTACAGAATTTTTAGGAAATGAAAGTTTCCTCCAGAATTCAAATTAGATAGATCTACTGTTAAAAATATATATGTCCTTCCAGATTTCTTTTTGTATGAACTGCCCTTATAAATTTACGTATTGAGGTATAATTTATATACAGTAAACTGCTCTGATTTTAGATTGTTTGGTAAGTTTGATAAATGTGTATGTACTAAGATAACCATTATCACAATCAAAATAGTTTTTATCACCTAAAAACGTTCCCTCATATTTCTTTGCAGTATACCCAGTCCTAGCCTTGGAAAATTACTGATCTGGGTTTTTGTTGTTGTTGTCAGCATAGATTAGATTTGAAACTTTTCTTTAAAAAAGAAAAACACACCCTGACTAGTGTGACTCAGTTGGTTGGGCATCATTCCTTGAAGCAAAAAGTCATTGGTCCGATTCCCAGGGAGGGCACATGCCTAGATTGTGGGTTTGGTCCCTAGTCAGGTGCATACATGAGAGGCAACCCACTGATGTTTCTCTTCTTCTCTTTCTTCCTCCTTTCTCTTCTCTCTAAAATAAATAAAATCTTAAAAACACACACGTACACACCAAAAAAGTGTTACTACTACTATTTGTTTGATTTAAAAAAATTTTTTTATTCTCATCCAAGAACATTTTTTTATTGCTTTTAGGGAGAGAGGAAGGGGTGGGGAGAGAGAGCGAGCGAGCACGCGCGAGCTTTTTGTATACATCCTGACTGGGGATCAAACCTACAATTTGGGTATGTGCCCCCAATTGGGAATTGAATCTGCTACCTTTCGCCCTATAGGACGACGCTCCAACCAACTGAGCTATACTAGCCAGGGCTATCTGTTTGATTTTTTTTAACTTAGTATATTTTGGACTTCTTAGATATTTCAATAGGTAGGTAGGTAGGTAGGTAGGTAGACAGACAAAAAGTTATGATGAAAAAACAGCAGAGGCAGAGTTCTCTTTTGGTTTTTTTTTTTTTAAGAAGAATATATACTTCATTAACCTTTTCTTATTCCAGCCAGTTTGCACTTTACTGATTTTTTTTTCTTCAGCTGATTATAATCTTTATATACTTTATTACAGATTTTACTGACTCCCAGGTGAGTTGAAATTAAAAGTCTTCTGATTAGATATATTAGCTCCTCGCTGCTCCAAGTGTGGTTGACAAACTAAGGGGTACAGGTCACCTAAGAGGTTGTTGGAAACACAGAATCTCAGACCCCATCCCAGACCTGAATCACATCTGTATTTTAACAAGATCTTTAGGTGACTGAGGATGTGTCAAAGTCTGAAACACACTGTATTAGGTCATTTCTAAAAATAATTTAAAAAATAAATAAAAATTTTTTTTCAATTACAGTTGACATACAGTATTAGTTTCAGGTGTATATTAGGTCATTTTAACATTTCAACTGGTTTTTTTAATTGACTCAAAATCAATTCAGTACTTCATTATTGAATTAAATTAGTTTATTAAAATAAATCACTCTTGACTTTGTGTCTCTAACTCAGAATATCTTACATAATTAGAACTTTTATTTGCAGGTGCAATTTTGATTTCAGATACTTTTTTTGTTTTACTAGATAAATTTTTCATAGCCGTGTATAATATTACCTTTTCATTTTAAAATTGAAATTTTAAATTTTGTTCAGAAAGTCATTACTGCCTCAGATTAACAATACAATGGTATATGCATTCCAAAGGCTAAGTTTAATAATTATTTACATGTATATGTGTGTATACATACACCCACACATATATACATAAATACATACACATACATGTAAATTTTATGCATATATAGGCAAAGAGGAAGAAAGACTGAAAACATCTCGCTAGTGGGATTACATGTGATTTTTTTCCCCTTTCTCTTTTAGTTTTTTTAATTATTATTATTAGGCATTGAGATAACTGTTGCCTAACATTTTGAAGCTTGCTTTTTAAAAATCTGGTTGTGATTTTTGTACCCATTTAAAACTTAAGATCATAGTCTGCAGATTTTAGCCTTCATTTTTTTTTTTTCATTTAACATTGTGTTGTGACTATTTTCCTGTATGTTTAACTATTCTTCAATAACATGACTGGTAATAGTTTAAGATAGTTCATTTTAAATATATTTCATAATACTGTCTTAAAGACATTTCTCGTACTATTTGTGTGTAACAGAAAAATAAACTATTTGGTTCTGTTACTGGGTGTCATGAATAGTTATATATGTAAAATATCAAATATGAAAGTTTGATTGTTTCTATCTTGTTTTAATTTTTAGCAAGCTTCACTGCCTACACTTTAGTTCTTGGGATTCAAGCAAAGAATGGATAGTCGACCTGCCTCAGAATGAGGATATTGAAGCCATCTGTCTTGGTCAGGGATGGGCTGCTGCTGCCACTAGTACCTTGCTCCTTCGATTATTTTCTATTGGAGGTGTTCAGAAAGAGATCTTCAGTCTTCCTGGGCCTGTGGTGTCAATGGCAGGACATGGAGAACAGCTTTTCATTGTTTATCATAGAGGTAGATTTTTTCCGGTCTTTTATAATTTTACCATAACCTAAAGTAAATGGAAATTACTTAGCTTTTTTCCCCCTTTCTCTCCTTGTTTTGGATTATATACCTCCTTTTGCATTTTTCTTAGCATTTGAATCTGTAATTTTTTAGTGTAATTTTTAAATGTATAGAATTTTATTGTATTCATTGATAACAATGAGAATGAAAATATTTTGTTTATAGAAGAACTATATTGCCCTGGCAGGTGTGGCTGAGTGGATTGAGTGGTGGCCTGTGAACTGAAAGGTCACTGGTTCTATTCCCAGGCAGGGCACATGCCTGGGTTGTGGGCCAGGTCCCCAACTGGGAGTGTGCGAGGAGCAGACAGCTGATGTTTCTCTTCACAACGATGTTTCTTTCCCTCTCTTTCTCACTCCCTTCCCCTCTCTCTGAAAAATAAATAGATAAAATCTTTTTTAAAAAAACTACATTAGAGAAAGAATTTCAAGGTAGAGTTTGGTTAATTACTTCCATGGCTATATATTAAATGATTTTTCAGAGTTTAAATGCCTCAAAAACTAAACTAACTCTAGTCTGAAGAACCAAAACAGCTTTGAAGTGCCTTTTTAAAAAGTTGCCATGTTTTCCTCACCTTATATTCTCTCTTCAGTCCCTACCACTGTATTCAGACTGGTTTTATTAAGGTTACCAATGGTTTCTTTATGCTTATTTTTATTGTAGAATAATTCTGTCAGAAATACTTTCTTGTCTTGACTTCTGTGACATCACTCTCTTGATTTTCTTTTTTATCTCACTGGTAGTTCCTTCAGCTCTTCTGGTGTCTCCTCCTCCCGTGCTCACACCTCCTCTCTAGTTCTCTCTAGGTCAGGAACTTTCAGTCTTTTGACTGCTTAGCCATAGTAAGAAATACATTCTGTATTGCTATTTTGAACATGCCTGCAAATGTAATGGAAATAAAAGTCTTATGGACAATATTTACTCTTTGATTTAATTTTTTCTAAACGGTGGTTGCAACTCTGAATTGATTTCATGACTCATAGGTCAAAAAATGCAGTTTGAGAAACCGTCCTGGGGATCTCATTATGACTTATGTCTTTAAATACATCAATGTGTCCATGACATCTAAATTAATTTCACCAGCCCTACTCTCTTCTTGTGTTTTCAGACTTGCCCACATAAAATCTCTATATAGGTTTAATACACAGCCCAAACTTAACTTGGTCATAATAAAACCTTTGATATACTTTTTGCCTCCAAACTTGCTTCTTACTTAGTTACCCCCTCTTGGTAAACAGCATGCTATCAACTAGCTGTTCAAACCAGGAATGCAAGAGTTATCCTTGATCATCTCTTTCCCTGACCTCCCTCCCCCAAAAAAACACTGTCAGTAAGATCATATCATTTCAGTTCTTTGGAATAACACATTCCAAATCTGTCTCTTTAAAGACCCCAGTCCAGCCCAGATGTCATCTCCTGGGCTCTTACAGCAGCCTTCTACCAGTCTTTCAGCTTCAGTTCTTGTATTCTCTAATTGATTTCCACATAGCAGCCTGGGTAATCTGTTGAAAACATGCACCTCTTCACTTAGATTTCTCTGATGACTTCCCAGAGCTTTTATTTATTTTTTTTTAAAGATTTTATTTATTTATTTTTAGAGAGAGGGGAAGGGAGGAAACGAGGGAGAGAAACATCAATGTGTGGTTGCCTTCACATGCCCCCTACTGGGGACCTGGCCTGCAACCCAGGCATGTGCCTTGATTGGGAATCAAACCAGTGACCTTTTGGTTCTCAGGCTGGCACTCAATCCCCTGAGCCAGGGCCTCAGCTTTTAGAATAAAAATCAAACTTCTTTTCACAGCTGACAGGGTCCTACATGATCCAATCTTTGCCTACCCCTTCAACCTCATCTCTTGCCACTTTTTCTCTTGATACTAATTCTGGCCATACAGGCTTCTTTGCATTCTTCAAACTCACCAAGCTTGTTACCACCTTTGGACCGTTCATTAGGTGTGTCCTCTCTGTCTACTATAGTGCTCCTCTTCCTAACTTTTGGATGACTGGCTCCAACTTGCAGTTCATGTCTCAGCTTAAATTTCGCTTTCTCAAAGAGGGCACCTCTGACTAGCTAATCTAAAGTAACCACTCAGTCTAGCACTCTGTATCACATTATTATTTTAACTCTTTGATAGCACTTAGTATTTTTTGTTATTTAGTTTGTTTTTTAATTCATTTGCTTGTATTCTCCTACCTGAATATGAATTCTTGTTTACCATTGTAGTCCCAGTGCCTGGCACATAGTAAGCTGTATTTAAATATTTCTCGAGTGAATGATTTATCCTTATGACCACTTTTAGTCCAGGTGACATATAGTGTTCTGCCTTTTATACCTGAATGGTGCCCCAGTTAGGTAGGTTATCCATAAAAAGTAGTGCTAGTTCATCTAAGAAACAAAATCAGTTCAATTCACAGGATACAATTTAGACTGCTTTATATCTAAATAACCTTTGACACCTTATTTATGTTTATATTTTTTACTAGGAACAGGATTTGATGGGGATCAGTGCCTTGGAGTTTATCTGCTAGAGATGGGGAAAAAGAAAAAACAAATTTTGCATGGTGATCCTCTTCCTCTTACAAGGAAATCCTACCTTGTATGGGTTGGATTTTCAGCTGAAGGCAAGACAAATTAATTTATTTATATTAAAGACATTTTTCAGGAAGAAAATTGTTTCATTGTTTTTTTCCTAATTTCTATATAGATAAATTGTTTAAATTTCTTTGTTTTAATATGTTGGCAAAACTGGAAATGAATTGTTAGGCAAGGTAGTCATTGTTTTATGTACAAGGTCTGTTTTTCATGAGAATTCTGATTAGGAAACTTATGAAGAAGAAATATATGAGGTCTGTCCAGAAAAAAATCCAGCCATTGTTAATACAACAAGGATGGTTTGTGTGACATCACTGTAACTTGGTAGCCAATGCGAGTGGACTTGAATGCACATGTGTGAACAAGGACTACCTCGCTGTACTTGTCAGTGGGAATGGTAGACACCATTGAGTGAGCATGTGTACTGTGTGGCTGTTGCATTCAAAATGGGTGAGTAGAGCAACAAATCTGCATCAGATTTTGTGTTAAGCTGGAACATTCCTCCATGGAAACTATTTGGATGATTCAGAAGGCTGCAGCTATGGGCAGCTGGTGATTGGCAGCTTCACAGTTGCCCAATCGTGTATCACATCTCGTGCAGTTTTTTTGAGGAACATCAAATCACCCAGGTGACTCAGCACCCCTACATCCCAATTTGGCATCCTGTGACTTCTGGCTTTTCCCAAAACTAATACCTTTGTAAGGGAAGAGGTTTCAGACCATCAAGATTCAGGAATTGGCAATTGGGAAATCTGTGTGAGGTCCCAAGGTGCTTACTTTGAAGGGGACTGAGGTATCATTGTCTTATGTACAAGGTTTCTTGTATCTTCTTCAGTAAATGTCTCTTATTTTCATATTGCCCGGTGGATACCTTCTGGACAGATCTTATATTTTTCTGTAAGCTTATTAAGATAACAAGGAGATACAAATCAATGGTAAAGGGGCTATTCTAGCAGATTCTACACAAAAATCAGGAATTTTCTGTTACTATACTGTCTACTACAGTGACCACTAGCCACATGTGTCTACTGAACACTTGAAGAGTGGTAAATCTGAATTAAGATGTGCTGTGAATATAAAATACTCTCCAGATTTTGAAGATTTAGTATGAAAAGAGAATGTAAAATAATGTCATTAAAAATTATTTTAACATTTGTTAAAATGATTATATTTTGGGTATATTGGATTTAATAAAATATAAATTAGAATTAACTTCACTTTCCCCCCTTTTCTTATGTGACACTAGGAAATTAAAAATTACATTTGTGGCTCACGTATTTCTGTTGGATAGTGCTGTTGTAAACTCATAGATGATGTGAAGGATACTGAGAATTACCTTTTTTAAGGAGCCTGTTAACCCTGTCTCGGCTTAACTATTTCTATTATTAGAGATTTGTACCCTTCAATTATCATTAGAAACTCCAGTTTTATCCATAAAACATCAACCATTTCTAGATGTGGCTTCTGTTGGGATATTAGTCATTTATGTTTTAATAATGTGACCATGAATAACTTCCATTCATGTAACTTTTTTTTTCCAATTACAAATCAGACTCTAAAAAAACTGTTTGCAGAGTGAGAGGGCTGTGAAGTCAGAGATAAGAAAGGGGGGTAATTAGGGAATTTGCTGTGCACTCCCTGAGAGGGGAGCAGATAGGGGGCAAACCAGGTTGCTTACTTGTTTCCTGGGAAGAATTGCTTACCTTGGAGTTGGGGGACAGAATAGTATAATAAGCCCAAGAAAGGAGAAGCAGCGGGGAGAGGAGTACTAAAAGACCGATCCTTTACATCCTCACCTTGTATCAGGTTTTGGTATTTTTCCCAGTTTCCCTTAACCAGGAAGGCTTCCGATTTAAGTTTAATTTTTTCCACTGAAGTAGGCTTTTGAAAATATTGCTATGTTCCAGCAGATGGCATAGTTTTCACTGAAACTATTAGTTTCTTCTCTTTATTTGAGTAAATTTCAGTCATATCTTAAGCGTTTTTTTTTTTTTCCTTTAGTCTATGTGGTTAATGAAATTTTGTGAGAAAATGAACTTGAGTTATTTGCCTTTTTTTGTTTTTTGCTGTTTATTTTTGAATTACAAGTTGAACCATTGGTATATATTTTTAAAAAAGTATTTATTAATATGTAGCTATGTCTCCAAGTGATTTGTTTTTCTGTTGATGTTATAGGTACCCCCTGTTTCGTGGATTCAGAAGGCATTGTTCGAATGCTAAACAGAGGACTTGGTAATATGTGGACTCCTGTATGTAATACAAGAGAACACTGCAAAGGAAAATCCGATCACTACTGGGTGGTTGGTGTCCATGAAAATCCCCAGCAACTGAGGTGGGATATTAGAAAATGCTTTTTAAAGTATATATTTATTTATCTTTTACCTTAGTTCATTTACTTGCTTTCTATATTTACTAAATTAGGAATTTGTTTATATTCACTGTGAAGCTTTCAACCAGTTGCTTGACTTAGAACTGAGAACAAAATAGGAATTAAGTTTATTAGTGTGGCTATAACATCATTTCCGCCTGTCGGTGGGGTCAGTTCTGGTTAGACATGGCATTTCATCTTTTTATACAGCCTCTTACTTATTTTTCCTCACCTGAGGGCATTTTATTTTTTCATTGCTTTTACAGAGAGAGGAAGGGAGAAAGAGAAACATTGTGAGAGCTCAGTTGCCTCCCAAATGCTGGGGCCAGGGATTGAGGCTCAAACCGAGGCATGTGCCCTAACTGGGAATTGAACCCTCAACCTTTTGGTTATGGGATGACGCTCCAGTTAACTAAGCCACACCAGCCCGGGCAACCTCTTATTTTAAACTATAATTTAGAATTGAATGTCTATAATTCAGCTGCTTTTTGAGTTCGGTTTTTTTTTTCATTTCTTTTTAAACTTTGGATATTAAGTAACAGTGAGGTACAAGTTCAGTATTGATGCATGCATCTCTATTGCCTTTTTAAAAAGATTTTATTTATTTTTAGAAGGAAGAGAGGGAGAGAAACATCCATGCATGAAAGATACATTAATTAAATTGCTTCTTGTATGCTCCTAACTGCGGACCTGGTCCACAGCCCAGGGATGTGCCCTGACTGGGATTCCTTTCGGTTCACAGGCTGGCACTCAATCTACTGAGCCGCACCAGCCAGGGCACTTTTTGAGATTTTTAGCTTAATTATCATAATAGAGGAGAGAAATGTAATGGTATATTGCAAGTGTAGAATTCTCAGTCCATATAATCTCTATTCAATACCGTGTTGAAGATTTCCTTCTTTTTTGACACCTGGTATTTTCTTGGTCTAAGAGATTGTCAATGACATATAAGTACTTGGTGAGCAGAGAGGTCTCTCTTTTCATGTAGCTCATAGTCTAGGGAGAGCGATAACAGAAACAACTAAATATTAATTACTACTTAGGATAAAAGCCATTAATTAATCTGAGCCAGAATCCTGATAGAGAATAAAAGAAGGGCATGTTTTAGGTGGAGTGATCACAGAGGACTCTTAATGGAGGTAGTGTTTAATGTGAGACCTGGATGCCAAGGAATCTGTTATGGAAGAACGGGGTGAAAAGTAATCCCTGTAGAGTAAACAGCATGCACAAAGGCGCTGAGGTCAGAAAGAATTTGATGTATTTGAGAAATTGAAAGTATCTAAATGTGGCTAGCATATAAGAATCAGGAGGCGATTGGGGGTGCATAGGTTGAAGATGACATCAGAAAGTTAGACGTACGTTGCATTATAGTCCATGATAGAGAAGTTTGGATTTTATTTGAAGTGTATCAGGAAGCCATTCAAGGTTTTTATTCAGGGGAATGTGGTGATCTGGTTTACATAAAAAGAAAAATATGACAGTAAATGGATTGGCAGAACTAAGACTAGAAGTAGGAAGACCAGTGAGTGGCTTTATTTCTTCTGGGGATGTTTGGAAAAGTGGGGTATTGTTTTTAGCTCTGGCAATGATAGAGGTTACCCTGGCATTTAGAGAGCTGGAACCAGGGTTGTTAAACATCTCATAGTGTGTAGAACAGTCCTTCTCAACTACAGATTATCTGAAATGCTTTCAGTGCTGTCATGGAGAAACACTGAGGAAGATTTTGTAGTCACTTAGCTGAACTAGAACTGGCTGGAAGTAGTGTGGAGGCAGTGGAAATGAAGAGAAGCAGATTCGCGATAGAAAGAGTAGGATTTGCTATTAGTTTGGGGATTGGGAGTGAGAAAGAAGAATCAATGACATCCATATTTCTGCTAAAAGCAGCTAGGTGGATACTTGAACCATTTAAAGAAATAAGGGAGATTAAAATGAATTCTCTCTTGGATGTATTAAATATGAAATGCAAAATATCCAAATGGAGCTATCAAGAAGATACTGGATATATAATTCAAATTCAGAGGAGAAATTTTGGCTGGAGATATAAATTTGGGATTCACCAGAATATAGAAGGTATTTAAAGTCATAGTAACAACATCAGATGACTTAGCAAGAAGAAAGAAAGAGGCAAAATGGTCTCAGGACCCAGCCCTAAGAAATTCCAACATTTAGAGGTCAGGTAGTAGAGTACAAACTTTTGCATGAGAAAAAAAGAGAATTAGCTAGGCAAGTAAGAGAAGAATTATCTGAAGAGGATCATGTAACAGACTCTCTGAGTGGAGACTATTTCAAGAGGCATTAGTGAGAAAGGGAAATAAAAATGGTTCTCAGGTATTTGAAAAGATGATTGATGTCACAAAAACTAAGATAAATATTAAAACTAAAAATTCTCTTTTTACCTATTGGAAAAAATATCTTGGTGAGGCTACGGTAAAATAATCATATTTATGTTGCTGATGAGAGTACACATTGGTTAAAATCCCTACGGAAGGCAATTTGTCAAGAACTACCAGAATTAGAAGTGCATATGTCCTTTGACCCAATAATTCCGCTTTTAGGATTTGTCCTGCAGATATATTAGTACTTGCTATTTAATGTACGATACACAGACAGCATCAGCATCACCAGGGAGACTATTAGAAGTGCTGAATCTCAGGCATCACATCAGACCTGAATGCAAACCTGCATTTTAACAAGATCTTTAGTTGATTTGTGTGCGCGTTAAAATTTAAGAAATACTGCTGCTAGCAAATGTGGGAAATGAAACATGTAAAAGATAACTTACATGGAAGGATTGTTAATATTAGCAAAAGATTGGAAACCTAAATTTCCATTAGAAAAATAGATAACTAAATTCTGTACAATTATTTATATACTAGAGTACTATGTAGTTTTTTAAAAAGGGTGAAGCAAATCATGTATGTGATGAGTGACATGTATCCAGAATATAAGCAGAACTCTTACAACTCAAAAAGACCCAGTTAAAAAATAGGCAGCCCTGGCTGCATGGCTTAGTTGGTTGGAAGGCTATCCAGTGCACCAAAAGGTTGCAGGTTTGATTCCCAGTCAGGACACATAGGTTGCAGGTTCCATTCCTGGTCAGTGCACAAACTTAGATTGTGGGTTCAGTCTCCGGTTGGGTCTTGTATGGGAGGCAACTGATCAATGTTATCTCTCTCACATAAATGTTCCTCTCTCATTCTCCCTTCTTCTATCTCTAAAATCAAGAAACATATCCTTGGGTGAGGATTTTTTAAAAATGCATGATATGTAGATAACTCTTTTCAAGAAGTTCAGCTGTCAAGAGGAAGAGATGAGGGTGGCATCTAAAGAAGGCTGTTAAAGAAAGGATTATTTAGTTTGGGTGATTCTAGAGCACTTTTGTAATCTCTTGGCAATAAATTTAGCGAAGAGGGTGAGACTGACAGTGTAAGAAAAGGAGACAATCGAAGGAATAAAATCCTGTAAAAAAAAGAAAGATCATAGATTTTAGACCATATGTCTAAAATAGGAAGGTAAGACATTTTATCAGTTGTGAGAGGGAAGAAGGTAGGCAATTGCAGATACGTTTGGTAGTTGAAGGGTAGTTGACAGGAATTCCTGTCTGATGGCTTCTGCTGTGCTGGCAGATTGTTGGAGCAATATTGAGGGTATTTTTAAAGGCAGTGGTTGGCAGTGTGGGCTGTTTGAGAAAACAGGATCGTAGAAAATGCAAAGTCAGACTTAGTGGAGAACTGTAGAGGAATTGCTGGTTAATACTCCTGTTTTAACTTTTCAGAATCTCCAAATACACCATATGGATATTTTTGAAATGGAGTATATTAACTGTTTTTAACAGTTCTTAGGGTATAGGTTGTTCTCAGGAATTTTTTGCATGTTATTCTCAAGAGTCAAGTTATTTAGTAATTCAAATGAAAGAATTCACATTTTTATCATAAGAGGTTACCAGTAAATTTTGAACCTATAAGGATTTTTACTGTTCTATCTAATATTTATTTAAGTAAGATGATTCATTTTGTTAACAAATGTCATTATCTTGAAAAGATATATTTAATATTACAAATGAACCTACAAGGATTTTTACTATTCCATTTTATATTTATTCAAGTAAGATGATTCATTTTGTTAGTAAATGTCATCTTGAAAAGATATATTTAATTTAATATTACAAATATACATTTTTATTGTGAGACTTTTTCTTTAATGACAGGTGCATTCCTTGTAAAGGCTCTCGATTTCCTCCTACCCTTCCACGCCCTGCTGTAGCTATATTATCCTTTAAGCTTCCTTACTGTCAGATTGCAACAGAGAAAGGACAGATGGAGGTATGTGGAAATCTTGCATTAACACTCTAAATTTGATAATGTGCTGCCTGTGACACAACTGTTTAAAAATTGTCCTGGTGACCAGTATTGAGTATTCATTACTTTATAATTAAATAGATAGAAGTAGCAGAGAGAGTGGGAGACTGCTTATGATCACCAAGGCACCTGATTGCCATCACTGCCCCCGAGGGCTTTGCCTATGAGGAAATGGGTAGTGTCCCGAGTGCCTCACTAGTGTAAGCGCTCACTGTCAGGGCAGGGCCGGTCTTGAGAGGGTGTTGCCTCCGTAAGGTTTTTGTGCCGTGAGTTGTGATTCACCCTAGCCCTAGCCCTGCGTCATCTAAAGTCATTTGAAATCTTGCAATTAGTTATTCTAAACAAGAAGCAAATTGGCTTCTAAAAATCTAGTTTACCAAGTTCTCTGAGCATTATCTCTAATAGCTAGGAAACTGCTTAAAACACTATATTTCTCACCCTTCCTCTCTCCCCTTTTAAGGATGCGACATAAAGTCAAGCCATAGTATCCCATTAATTAGAATTTGATGCTATAGAGATGAGTATTTCAGATGATATGTTATTCAGAAACTGGCATGAGATCAATATTTAACATTGGCCTGGTACTAAGTGATTGAGAGTTGACTCTAAGCCGTTTTTTTCTACTTTTGCAGGAACAGTTTTGGCGTTCAGTTATGTTTCACAACCACCTTGAGTATTTAGCTAAAAATGGTTATGAATATGAAGAGAGCAATAAAAATCAAGCAATAAAAGAACAACAGGAACTTTTATTGAAAATGCTTGCAGTAAGTAAAATAAACATACTGAAAAAATTGAAATTAAATACTTTTCTAACTTTGAATCTCTTAAAGGTATGTGAGTTAGCACTGAGCTCCATAGCCTAGAATTCTTAAGTTGCATCCAGTGGTGTTTTTCTCTCTTAAAAAAAGTTCTGCTTTCTAGTTGACACTGCATTTAAAATATTTAAAACGTTCTCTTGTATCTAAGATCATAGACAGTAATAAACTGTTCTGGTACCACCTCTGTTTTTGCTTTTGCCCACTGCACTGTTTTAACAGATCCTCCAAGCAATTTTGATATCTAATAAAGTTTGAGACCCAGGAGCTCCAGCTCTTGCTCTTATCCTGTGCAACAGAGTTCCTAAACCTCCAAGGGTGGGCAGTCTTAAGAACTGTCATAAGGCTTTTAGATATGCCTATTTTTTTCTTATCCTCTTAGGTGACTGTGATGGTAAAAGTTTGTCTTTAGCCAGTGACCATGTTTGGTGCCTGGTATATTTAAGTACTTTTATTTTTGGAAGTAAATGAACTTTTTGAAACATAAGGTTTGCACTCATGTCCTCACTCCAGATTGGTTTATGGAGAGAAGTATAATATGATTCCTTCTCTGCTCATCTTGCTCTAGGCTATAAGTACCTCGAGGGCAGTGGCCTTGCCAGATACTCAGTGCTGTCTAATACACAGTAGACCTCAGTATTTTTTGAGAGAGTGAATGATCCAGACTTTTCTTTTTTCTTTTTTTTAACTTTAAAAAAAATTTGTTTTTTATTTTTCAAATACATTTGTCTCCATTTTTCCATCCACACTTTCCCCTGCTCCACCTGCTCCTACCTCCCTCCCTCAATCCTTCCCCACTTTGGCTTTGTCCATGGGTCCTTTATACATATCCCTTGATCTGACCCTTCCCCTGTCTTTTCCCCATTACTCTCCTTCCTCCTTCCCTCTCGTTACTGTCGGTTTCTTTTTTCTTTCATTGTTGCTGGTTATATTGGTTTGGTTTCTTGATTAGGTTCCACTTAGAGATGAGATCATACATTATTTGTCTTTCACCCCCCTGGCTTATTTCACTTAGCATGATGCTCTCTAGTTTCATCCATGCTGTTGCAAAGGGTAGTACCTCTTTCTTTCTTTCTGCTGCGTAGTATTCCATTGTGTAAATGTACCATAGTTTTTTGATCCACTCATTTATTGATGGGCACTTAGGTTGCTTCCGGCACTTGGCTATTGTAAATTGTGCTGCTATGAACATTGGGGTGCATAGGTTCTTTTGAATTGTCGATTCAGGATTCTTAGGGTATAATCCCGGCAGTGGAATCACTGGGTCAAAAGACAGTTCCATTTTTAGCTTTTTGAGGAAATTTCAAATTGTTTTCCACAGTGGCTGCACCAGTCTGCATTTGCACCAACAGTATACTAGAGTTCCCTTTTCTCCACAGCCTTGCCAGCACTATTTTGTTGATTTTTTTTTACAGACTTTTCATTTTAAAGTTGAGGGAAAGAATTCTGAGGGGAAAGTAGTATCTAAGACCACAGAGCCAATTGTAACTACAATCGCCAAAAGATGGTATTTACTACTGTCATCTCTATGCAACATAGCCTTGAGTTTAGTACTAAAGGAATTTAGTTTATTGTAGAGTAATTTTGTTCCTTTTATAAAGTGTCATTTATGGTCTAGAAACTACTAACCTTTTTACTTCCTATAAAACATTTAAGAAAACATATTTATTTGTTTACCATTTAGTCTTACAGGAGTTTTTCCTCTGGAGCACATTTCTCAGGGGATCCTAGTAACTTTGGGGACTGGTCTTTAGCAGTTCTGGCCCCCTGGCAAATGCCTGTTCAACCCAGTTACTGTGAGAATCAGCGGGTCCTTGAATAACATCATTTCATTCAATGTCAATAATGATAAGGTGGGGGAAATCAAATCCTGGCAGGGACTGCTGTCTATGTGGAGTTTACATGTTTCCCCCATGTCTGGGTGGGTATCCCTCAGGTACCCCAGTTCCCTCCCACATCGCGAAGATGTGCACATTAGGTGAATTATGTGTCTACATTGTCTCAGAGTGAGTCAGTGTGGGTGTGTGGGTGAATGTGTCCTGCAAAGGAAGGGCATTCTTTCAAGAGTGGGATCCCTTTTTGTGCCCTGAGCTACTGGGATAGGCTCTGGCCACCCATGACCCTGAAGTGGAATAACAGGTTGGAAAATAATTATCTCACTCATTTTTATCAATCTTTGTTATATATATATATATATATCACATTTATTTCAGTGTTTACTATTAGAACTGTTTGGGGTCTTTATTTAGAAGTTTGGTGATGTTTTTGTGATTAGAAATACGCTGTAGGAAGTTAACTCTGTGTATATCAATTAGCCTGTGTTAAAATTGGTTTATATGCCCTTTAGCCTAAAGCCGCAGTTTCTAGGAACCCATCAATCATGTTAAATGAGGACTTACTGTACTCCCTTTTATTTCCAAATGCCCCCTGAGGCAGAGTACCAACCCTGATTGAGAAGTACTGCTTACAGATAAGTGATACTAGAAAACTTGAGAAGGACATAGAGGTGAATATCTAAAGTCTGTCTGATGAATGAGACATGGGATGTCCAAGTAACAAATTATGTAGTCCTTTTACCCTATGAATTATGAGATCCTTAGTAGTCTTGCAAGTATTAATTTTTCTCACATTGTACTTGCGTTGCCTCACTTTGAGTTGTCATAATTAATACTGGAAGAAAACTAGTCCGTGTTTTCTAAGAGATGTTAAATGAATGCCCTTTGTTTTATATTATTAGGTATGAAAAATAGAGCAAGAAAAAGGAAGTTGCTTGTTAATTTGGAAGTTGTATAACTGATTCTGGTAGTTGAAGATCATGGACAGTCACACTTTTTTTTTTTTTTAAATCCTCGCCTGAGGATATATCTACTCACTCCAGAGGAAAGACGGGGGTGAGGGGAGAAGAGAGACATTGATGTGAGCGAATCATCGATCAGTTGTCTCCCATATGTGTGCCGACCAGGGACCAAACCAGCAAAATAGGCGTGTGTCCTGACTGGGAATCAAATCCGCAACCTTCCAGCTTATGGGCTGGCACGCCAGCCAGCTGAGCTTCACTGGTCAGGGCCACCGTCACACTTTAAAACTATTGGATAAATCTGCTTGTCCCCACCCAAATTTGCACAGTAGTGTTTGTGTGCCAATTTTGGGCAAAGTAATAACAAATAAATCATTTACAATTTTATTCCTTTTTTGAATTTGCTACCCTATTTGGTGAGGGTGGGAAAACAAATTTAGGAGAACCACATCTGAATTTTAAATGAATCTCTTACTTTCCTTGCAATGAGTAGCTTAAAATGATATGTCATAGTCCATTGAGTCTAAGCTATTGTTGATTGTAAAATGCACCATTATTTTATTCATTTAAGCCACTGAGACAAAAAAAAAAATGCTGCCAATTAAACTGTGATCTACCATGGATTGTAACATGCTTCCCCAATTTCAGAGATGTTAAACTGTAAAAATGTGCACCTTAGAATCAGTGAGATGCAGTAGCTAGAAAGCTGTTTTCTCAATTTTGCTAGTAGTTTCATTCCTTAATTTTGAAAAAGTTCAACTTAATGTGATTTGATTTTTGTTTCGTTTTGTTTTCCTTTTTGGGCTAGCTCTCCTGTAAACTGGAGCGGGAATTTCGTTGTGTGGAACTTGCAGATCTCATGACTCAAAATGTTGTGAATTTAGCCATTAAATATGCTTCTCGTTCTCGGAGATTAATATTGGCCCAAAGACTTAGTGAACTGGCTGTAGAGAAGGCAGCAGAATTGGCAGCAACCCAGGAGGAAGAGGAAGAAGAAGATTTCAGGAAAAAGCTGAATGCTGGGTAAGAAATACTCAGTTGTTTGAATTTTTCTTTACCATTCTGAATATTAACTTTGTCTTTGCATATAGCTCTTTATTGAGTATTATCTTATTTTTTAATTTTTTTATTGTTCAAGTACAGTTGTCCCCATTTTCCCCCATTACTCTCCCCTGCCCTACTCATCCCCCACCTTCCACTGTCAATCCTCCCCACCAACTCCCTGTCCCCCCCGCCCCCCACCTTTGCCTTTGTCCAGGGGTCCTTTATACATGTTCCTTGACTTGGCCCTTCCCCTTCTTTCCCCTGTTATCCTCTTCCCCCTTCCCCTCTCTGGTCACTGTCACTTTGTTCTTTATTTCCATGTCTCTGGCTCTATTTTTCTTGCTTGTTTTGTTCTGTTGATTAGGTTCCACTTATAGATGAGATCATATGGTATTTGTCTTTCACCCCCTGGCTTATTTCACTTAGCATAATGCTCTCCAGTTCCATCCATGCTGTCGTGAAGGGTAGGAGTTCTTTCTTTCTTTCTGCTGCATAGTTGAATAATATTATTTTTTTAGTTATAGTAATACTCCTACAGAGTGGAGTCAGCCAAGGCTCAGAAATGAAGCTGAAGAAGCTGCAGAAGACACTGGAGAAGCTGATGATACTATGGAAGCTGATGATATAGAAGAAAAATCAGAAATACCTAAGCAGGGTAAAGTACATTTTTAAGGCATTTTAAAGATGAGAAATGTTATGTGTGGGGCTTTCCCTAATTTACTGAGCTAGGAAAATTGAATATAGTAGTCCTACTTATCCATGGTTTTGCTTTTCACGGTTTCAGTTACCCACAGTCAACTGCGATCCCAAATATTCAATGGAAAGTTCTCGAAATACATAATTCATAAGTTTTAAATTGTGTCATTCCAAGTAGCATGATGAAATCTTGCACCCTCTGATCCATCCCACCAGGGATGTGAATTATTCCTTTGTCCAGCGTATTTACACTGTATATATCACTCACCCATTAGTCATTTGGTCACTCACATATCACGTCAACTGTGGTATCACAGTGCCTGTGTTCAAGTAGCTGTCATTTCACTTAATGGTCCCAAAGCACGAGAGTCGTGATGCTGGCAATTCAGATATGTTAAGGAGAAGCTATAACGTCCTTCTTTTACGTGAAAAGGTGAAAGCTCTTGACTTCATAGGGAAAGAAAAAATTGTATGCTGAGGTTGCTGAGATCTATGGTAAGAATGAATTTTCTATCTGTGAAATCGCGACCAAGAAAAAAGAAATTTATGCTGGTTTTTCAGTCACACCTCAAAGTGCAAAAGTTATGGCCACAGTGTGTGGTAAATGCCTTGTTAAGATGTGGGTGGAAGACATGAACAGAAAATGTGTTCTGGCTGATGGCAGCCTGTTGCCCCAGAATGCATTGAGCCTTTAGAAGACTTCAGCAAAAATCCCCTGAAATGAGTGACCACATTCACATAACTTTTAGTACAGTAGATTGTTATAATTGTTCTATTTTATTATCATTGCTTATTTTTTACTGTGCCTAATTTAGAAATGAAATTTTATCGTAGGTATGTGAAGGATGGGACAAAAGTAGGTTTACAGTTCATATGAGAAATAATACAATAATTAAATAATCATACACGAATAAACTTTCGCATACTCACAACTGTAAACCTACTTTTGCCCCACCTTGTATGTATAGGAAAAGAATATAGTACATAGAGGGTTCAGTACTATTCTTGGTTTCAGGCATCTACTAGGGGTCTTGGAACATATCCCTCAGGGATGACGGGGAGGCTGCTGTACTCACTTTTTCAAGCTATCTATCTGATGATTTTAGAGGATAACTTTATCTTCCCATTATATTTAGGACAGAACCCATTTTCCAAAAGCACAAATTCCTCTGATGTGCTGCCCATTAAGTCAGGTAAGAAATATTTGTAATTTTGTAACATCAAGAAAATTTTGTAAGTAGTCTTTAAAGTGATACATCTACTCAACTACACTTTACCCTTTAGGGCCTGGGGTTTTTTGTTTGTTTGTTGGGGGAGGGGTTGTTTTTCAGTGATGTTTGTGAAACCATGGTTGCTTAACAAATATTAAATGCCTATTGTGTGTCAGGTATTTGACTAGATGAAGGGGTACAGAAGTCAAGCAGGTATGCATGGTTGATCCCTGTCTAAAGCTTATATAACTGATTGGCTTTTTAAACTATGTACATATTACTGTGATTTAAAAAATTATCTTTAAAAATGTGTGCAGAGTATTGAAAGAGCATATAACAGGTGGCTGTAATTTATTCTGTGGTGGGAGGCAGGTTGGGGCTCCCAGTAAGGCCTCATGGAGTGTTTTTAGCAGACACCCGACTGATACGAGTACGGTAGGCAAACGTGGGTGGAAGCAGAGAGAGAACATGTGTGACGACTTGTGAGAGTGACACGAAGAGCACAGAGAGCAAAGAGGAAGTGGTGCTGAGCGGTTTGGGAGCAATGGGCGGGAGCCAGATCCGGCAGATTCACGTAGTCCGCAGTAACAGCTTTGATCTTTAAGCTAAGGTTGCTGGGAGGCCATAGGTTTAGGCAGGGGCATAGAATGCATAGCAGGCCACACGGCAGAGGAGGAAGGCATATTAAGAGACTACGGAGGCAGTCCAAGGGAGATCGAAAAGAAGCCTCGACTAGGGTGGTGGTGATGGTAGAAAGAATGGGAAGAACTGAGGAGGTAGTTCAGAAGATGACGTAGAGAGTGTAGAAGTCCAGGTGTGAAAAATGACTCAGTTTCTCGGCTTCTGTACTTGAGTGAATGATGGTGCCGTGTACTGAGTCAGGAAGCACAAGGGAAACACAGCCGTTGATAGGAAGATGATGAATTACTATTGGATATTGGGTCAGGAGCTCAGGAAAATAGTATCTCTGGGATGGAGATGTAAGTGAAAATCGTTGGCATAAGTATGGCAATTTAAACCATGGGCATGGGTAAGGGAGCCTTGGGGAGGGTATAAAGTGAGGAGGAAAATGAGCTCAGGCCTAGGGAATCCCAACATTTACAAATAAGGTAGAGGGAGAGGAGGAGAGTGAACCATCGACATAGAGTAAGACCAGGGAAGAAGGAGGTAAGCAAGGGGTAAATGCAGTGTCTGAGAAGTCAAGGAACGAGACAGTGTCGGGGAGAAAGGAACTCTCAGCTATGCAGAGTGCTGTCGAGGGGGAACATAAGATGATGACTGAAAAGTATCCACCAGATTTGGCTACATAGAGTTTTATTGAGTTCTTTGCAAGGGCAGATTCTGTAGGATAGTATGGCTGGAAGCCATGTTATGGTGGATGTTGAAACATGAGAGTAGTGAGGAAAGGGGAATAGCTTGTAGGCAGCTCTGGAGAAATTTGGCTGTATGTGGAGAGCTGAGAGAAAATGGTGGCTGGAGGGGGTGTATGTAGGATAGGGAGGATTTGTTTGGTTTTTGCTTGTTTAAGTTAGGAAACTTGAACAGCCAATAACGAGGGAAAAGTCAAAGATGATGTAGCCATTGATGGGACAAGTGTCTTGACAAAGCAGGAGGGGTGAGGTGGAGAGCACAAGGGAAGGAATTACTAACCTTAGCTAAAATAGGACAGCATTCTTGCATGGAGACAGGAGGAAAAGAATAGATCTGTATGTATTGGGTTGCTGCATTTTATAGGGGCAAGTTGTAATAGTGCCCATCTGATAGTTTTTATTTTGTCTTGGAAATAGGAAGGAGGTCATATGTAGTTCATAGTTTTAAAGTTACAAAGTAAGGTTCTTTTTATATAATACAGATTAAAATATTCCATCTAATATTACAGAAGTCAGAGGTCCTCTGTGTTTTACCACTATTAAGTGAAGGTTTCTTTCTTATGAAAGGTGCAGTTATCTCTGGCAGCCAAGGACGAGTAAACCCCTTCAAGGTAAACTCTTTCCAGTGATATTTTCTATTTAAATACATTTCCATACAGAGAAATACAATGTCTGGCACAAGGAACGCCCCTATCTTATTATATAAACATCATTTATTACAAAATCATAAGCATGTATCCTATAACATAACAGTATCACACTCAAGCACACCACATGACATGCTAGGTGAAATGTTCAGATTGCTGGCCATCTCATGCCGCACATTCATGTACCCTACCAACCGCACTCAAAGGCGTTAACTTCTGCCAGACCCTGTCTTTTCAAACCACGTTATGACCCTCCCCAGATTGGAGGTATTAAAGACTGCAGCAGGTCTTTGTGAAAACAAAGACAAAAGCAGCGCGGGTTCACAAGTTACCTTTTCTACTTATCTTTTAAGTACCTGTTTTTCTTGGGGATGTGGTATTTGGGAATATGTGGATCAGTCTTAATTTGGGTTGTACCAGATTATTCAGTTTCAAAAATGAGACTACAATACAAACTTAACTGAAATTTTACAGAAAAATAAACTTACTGGGATTCTTTTTCTTCTTCAAACATAAAATGTTAACACAAGTTTGTTTTTTAGGTATCAGCCAGCCCCAAAGAGCCAGCCATTTCCGTGAATTCAGGACGTTCTGCTAACATTTTAGACAATATGAACAAATCATACAAGAAATCTACTGTACTTAATCGAGCTACAAATAATGAAAAGTCTCCAGTAATAAAGCCTCTAGTTCCAAAGCCAAAGTCTAAGCAGGTACTGTTTCAACTACCCACATCTGCAATAAGCATCAGACGATCCCTTTGTCTTAACTCTAGTTCTGTTCCCTGTTTCAGGTGTGAGACAGGAGGCTCCAGTTGTTACAATTGATTATCTAGCGAGGGTAGAGGTTCTCAATTATGAATTTGCTTCAGAATCACTTTTTAAAAATATGTATACCTAGACCCTGGGGACTTGGGCATCAATCTGGGGGTTTTTTGGTCTTTTTTTGTTTTTAAATTTTCCAGATGGTCCTGATGCATGTGTCTCTGTAATGACAGCTGCTGCAGTGCCTAGCTCTAATCCTTCCTTGTTCTGTGTTCTGGTTTTACTTCCCAGATTTCATCCCATATTTGTCATGAGTGAAATAGATCTATTGTTTATCTTTTTCCATTTCTTCTAATTCTATTTATTTAGAAAACATGGAATTTGACGTATGATTTTGGGGGGTTTTGAGTGTGTGCATGCTTATTTTCTGAGAGCTTAAGAGCTTAACATTTAGTATAAGAATTCTAAATAATTATAAATATTCTTCCACATTTTTCAAAACTTGTTTGTAAAATATGAAAACATGATTTTGTTGCAGTATCATTATGTTTGTTTTTACAGGCATCTGCAGCTTCCTATTTCCAGAAAAGGACTTCCCAAGCTGATAAGACCGACGAAGTGAAAGAAGGCAACCCTGAAAATTCGTTATCTGAAACCCCAGCCATGTGTCCTCAAAACACTGAAAACCAAAGGTCAGTACACAGAGATATTTAGTATTCTCAAGACACAGTCTCCCAGTAAAAGGCATACAGAAGCAGCAAAAGAAAAAAACTTACGCAGCTGTTATTTATTATTGTAAATCACTCATTGACACTGGCAGTGGGCATTCTGAATACTTATTTTAAAGAAGTCACAAATACTTATTTATGTCTATTTACATTACTTGTTAAAGTATGCTTTGATAAATTGGATGTTTTAAATTGTAGATACATTTTATTAGGACACTATATTTTATAATTAGTTCTTTTTTTAATAGATAATATAGTTACATGGCAGAAACATAGTCAAAAGAGATGTGATGAAGGGTAATCTCTTTCCTATTTACCCAGTTCCTCTCTTCACAGGTAGTCACTGCAACAGGTTTCTTATATAGCCTTCCACAGTTAATCTATGCATGTACATACACATTGTTCAGTACCTTGCTTTTTTCCCCCTTAGCAGCTTTTGCAGGTCATTTCAGATTACTGCTCAAAGAGTTTCTTTCATCTTTTTATACACATTGAATGGATATACTATAATTTACTTAGTTCTCTACTGATAGAAAAAGGTCTTTGCTAGTACAAATAGTGCTGTAAAGAGTAACTTTATATGAATGTCATTTCTCACATAGACATATGCCTATGGATTCCTATATGGTTCAAGTTAGCGTGAACTTGAGTTTGATAGATATTGCCAGATTGTTCTGCATTGATGTTATCATTTTATACACCCTGTTTGTCCACATCCTATTTGTCCACCATTGCAATATGTTACCAAATTTCTTGATCTGTTATGCTACATATATTTAAAGTGCATCAGTTAAATTGAAGAAGTCATCATTTTATTCTTATTATTGTTAACCAGTTTAATTTGAAGGGATAGCTATGTTTTTTTCTGTTTTGTTCTGAATTCAATTTAGATATTAGTGAAAATTTTAAGAAGATTCAGTGTTTTATACTATCAACTGAATATACAGACAAAACATACTCAGTAAATATTCAATGTTTGCATTAAGCCCTCTCTTGTGACTTGAAGACAATTGTGTCAGACGTGAGATCTAGTAAAATTGACTAGTGTGCTGTGTCCATGTATTACCTAACAATGACACAAGAAAGGATCCACACTCCCAGGTCACCTTTGAGAGTCAGGGTAAGGGATGGCTAAAGAGCTTGACAGAAATCCCGAAGATTTCAAATACTTGGTTTGGGAAATGGAGAAAGAACCTACCAAGGCTATATGGAAAATTTTACTAGGCCAAAGGGGCTAAGTGAGATTGGAGACCTTGAGCCTGTCAACATTGAAAAAGAGTTGACAGTGCAAAATTCATGTTTGCTGCACTTGGAAAACAAAAGTGTGAGTAATCCCTTTGAACTCACCTTACAAAGAATTTTTCAGTTCATTATTCCTGCAGTTTCCAGGCAGTTTTAAGTAATATGTAATATGGTTATTCACAAGTGTAATTAATTGTTTCCCTCTTACTTTACACAGCTATGCAAAGAGTAATGGTTAATTACTAACCTGAAAAGTCATAAAGCACTTTAAACTATATTTCAAATATAACTTTTTTTTCACATGATTGTGCTATTTTAGGCCAAAGACTGGGTTCCAGATGTGGCTGGAAGAAAATAGAAGTAATATTTTATCTGACAATCCTGACTTTTCAGATGAAGCAGACATAATAAAAGAAGGAATGCTTCGATTTAGAGTATTGTCCACTGAAGAAAGGAAGGTAAGGATAATTGTGCTGAGATTGAGATCTCATTGAATTCACAGGTTTTTAAAATTCTTACAGAAAATGTCTTTTCTGTTTTTGAAAATTGAATACATTCCGATAAACTTTGGAGAGGAAATTAAATAACTAAAATGTCAGCATGGAACATAATATATAATATTTATTACTTAGTGCAAATGGTTAATTTGGCGGCAGGTATATTGTTTACATCTGTATAAGTTCCTGTATATTTTAAGTTAGGGGACTACCCTAAGAAAAAGTCCATTACTTACAAATTAAAAACAAACAAATTTAATAAATAAAAATGAAGTTAATTCACATTTTTTGGACTGGTACTTTAGGGTCTTGTAAGCAGAATTTTTAAAAATGCTATTTATTTACACTGAATACTGCTTTGGGGGAGAAAAGCTGGGGTTAGTTTCCAGCCTTTTACATGGAAATGAGAACAGGTGGCTTGTACCTGTTGCTCCTCCTGTAAATTTCTGCCAGGTGAAGGAAGACGAGGAGCAGCTTTCTGTTGCCCTGGGAAGGAATGTGTGTAGTGTATCAGTTAAACCCTGGGACTTCACCTTCCCAGGGATGGCAGTGTGCAGCATGGGCACCTGGTGACAGATTCTTGCCATGATAAACTATGTGTTATGAGTAAAGGTATTGTAAAATGAGGAAGCAAGAAACTGGTCTAACCACCTCTGGTTTCATTTAGAATCTCATCAGCAACTGTGTGGTTCTCATTTTTAATAGGTATTTATAAAAGCATAAAAATTCTAAAGAATTAGGTAAAATGGCATCTGAATAAATCAGACCTTGTGTAGTAAAAGGAAGCAAGTTGGCAAAAGTTGTGATTGTTTTTGAATACTTAGAATTGTAATCAATATTTTTAAGATAAATCTTAAACATTTACTTACATCCAATCAGTTCATGTGAGAAATTCTACAGCTCCATCTTCCTTTTCTACAATAAATAAATGGGGAAGAATATGAAGTAGGAGGAGGAGTAGGAACTATTATAAATTAAAAGATATTTAAGAGACAGATGAAATGAGTGAAGCTTGTTAGGTACTTGGTTAGTGAATAGAGGCCAATCCCAAAAGAATGTATATTGTATATAACATCTCTGAAATGACTAAGTCATAGGGATGAATAACAGAGTACTTACTGCCAGGAGTTGGGACCTTGATGAGGAGTAGGGGCAACATAACATTATGCATCCTTGTGGTGACGGAACTGTTCTGTATTTTTTAGTGTGATGGTAAATACATGAACCTACAATAGAATTAAACATACACTCAAATGAGTAGAATTAGAAAGGGATTTTTGATGTTAGTATCCTTGTTGTGATACAGCACTACAGTTTTGCAAGATTCTACCATTAGGGGGAACTGAGTAAAGGGTACATGGAATCTTTCTGTATTAGTTTCTACAACCTACAATCTCAAAATGAAAAAAATTTCACATTTAAAAGTATTTTGAACTTAATATGGTTAAATATAAGCAGATTTTAGATTGAAATATAGAGGTAAAATGTACATTTTTTAAATGTGCTCTGCAATTAAGTAGTAAGAAAATTCTTAACAATGAGAATCCTTAATGATTAGCTTAACAATTCAAGTGCTAATTATGCTACTTTATATACAGGAATGTTACCTAAAAAAATTTTTAAATCATTTTCTTACTATTTCTTTGTTATTGAGTAAAATTTTTTCTCTCCACTATTTTGACAAAGGCATGGGCTACCAAGGCAAAAGGCGGAACTGCAAGTGATGGAGCTGAAGCAAAGAAGCGAAAACGTGTGGTTGATGAAAATCAAGAAACTGAACACCAGAAAGAAAAGGCAGCGGAGAATCAGAATTTGCCTAAAAAGCAAAAACCTTTAGATCTTTCTACAAATCAGAAACTGTCAGCTTTTGCATTTAAGCAGGAATAGAGTAAGGAAGTAGCCTTAGGAAATAATGGCTTTTTTTACAGTCTTTGATGAATCTGGACTTTTAAAGAAATCTTTAGGAAACTGTATATTTTTAAAAGAGTTTAAAGACAGTTGTTTGTAAGATACTGTAGTAATTATACGGGTGTAGATAGCAGGGAGTGCGTTAAAAATGATCATTTCTGCAGATTGCTCTGTCCCCCAAATGGAGGGCCATTTGGAAGCTTTGTGATTGTGGTCACTGATTTGAGGCCATTAGTATGTCCCAGTGGAAGCCAGTTTGATTTTATTTTTTACCTTCAAAACCATTAAAAGACAAGGTCTTAAAACCTCTGAGCATTTAAATACCTTGTGGGGATTTCCTCTCTTCGTTTACGTCATGTGCGGGGAAGTAGCCCTCTTCCCAAGTGTGTTACCATAGAGTCCTCTCTGTCCATACTGGACCTATTGGCTGTGTTTTTTTAATGTGGGTTCTAAACATGTAAATAATTTTGTAGATGAGACTTTTTCTTTTGTTTGTTTTGGAAATGTCTTCGTATATGGCTTTAAATTGTCTGCATAGCCTAGTTTTTAAAAAATAAATAAAACTTTCAGCCCTGGCTGGTGTGGCTCAGGGAACTGAGTGCTGGCCTGTGAAAAGAAAGGTCTCTGGTGTGATTTCTGGTCAGGGCACATGCCTGGGTTGCGGGCCGGGTCGCCATTGAGGGCCTGCAAGAGGCAACCAATTGATGTTTCTCTCGTATATCAAAGTTTCCCTCCCTTACCCTCTCTCAAAATAAATAAATAAAACCTAAAAAAAATTCACATTTTCATATATAGCTTGATATGGCCTTAACATTGTATTTCCATGGGATGGAAATGTTTCTAAAAAATGTATTTTTTATTAATTATCATAATTTCCTCCACCACCCCCACCCTGCTCTACATTATACACACAGAAAAGAAGAATCGAACATAGTATTTTGATAGTATGCAGCCCAGGGCACAATGTGCTCCTGGTAAGGTACTCTGGTTGTCAGTATTAGTAGTGCTTCTCTGAGCAAGGCTTTGAAGGCTTGATAAAAAAGTAAAGAATTAGGGAAAAAAATTTTTTGAGAAACAAGATTTAATTATTTCATACTTTTTTAAAATATATATTTTATTGATTTTGCTATTACAGTTGTCCCATTTTTTTCTACCCCTTTATTCCCCTCTGCCCTGTACCCCCTGTCCCACCAGCATTCCCCCTGCCCTTAGTTCATGTCCATGGGTCATATATTTAAGTTCTTTGGCTTCTCGTTTTCCTATACTATACTTAACCTCCCCCCTGCCTATTTTGTACCTACTGTTTATGCTTCTTATTCCCTGTACCTTTTCCCTCATTCTCACTCCTGTCCCTCCCCTCTGATCTCCATTTTTGTGATTCTGTTCTGGTTGTTTTCTTAGTTTATTTTTTATTTTAGGTTCAGTTGTTGATAGTTGTGAGTTTGTTATCATTTTACTGTTCATAGTTTTTGATCTTCATCTTTTTCTTAGATAAGTCCCTTTAACATATCATACAATACAGGCTTGGTGATGATAAACTCCTTCAACTTTACCTTATCTGGGAAGCACTTTAGCTGCCCTTCCATTCTAAATGATAGATTTGCTGGATAGAGTCATCTTGGATGTAGGTCCTTTTCTTTCATAACTTTGAATACTTTCCATCCCCTTCTTGCCTGCAAGGTTTCTTTGGAGAAATCAGCTCATAGTCTTATGGGCACTCCTTTGTAGGTAACTGTCTCCTTTTCTCTTGCTGCTTTTAAGATTCTCTCCTTATCTTTAATCTTGGGTAATGTAATTACGATGTGCCTTCGTGTGTGCTTCCTTGGGTCCAACTTATTTGGGACTCTGAGCCTCCTGGATCTGGAAGCCTCTTTCCTTTGCCAGATTGGGGAAGTTCTCCATTATTTTTTCCAATAAGTTTTCAATTTCTTGCTCTTCCTCTTCTGGCACCCCTATGATTCAGATGTTAGAACATTTAAAGTTGTCCTAGAGGTTCCTAAGACTCTCCTCATTTATTTTAAATTCTTATTTCTTCATTCTGTTCTGGTTGAATGTTTATCTCTTCCTTCTGCTCCAAATCACTGATTTGAGTCCCAGTTTCCTACTCTGTACCATTGGTTCCCTGTAAATTTTTCTTTATTTCACTTTGCATAGCCTTCACTTTTTCCTTACCATACTCAACCAATTCTGTGAGCATCCTGATTACCAGTGTTTTGAACTGTGCATCTGATAGTTTGGCTATCTCTTCATCACTTAGTTCTGTTTTTGGAGCTTTGCTCTGTTCTTTCATTTGCCCCATATTTCTTTATCTCAGCGTGTCTGTTACGTTGGGAGAGGTGGAGCCTTAGGTATTTGCTAGGGCAGGGCAACCCAGGTGGCTGGGTTGTGACTATGTGGGGAAGGGGTCCGAGAGGAAACAATGCTGGTTGCTTGGCTCTCGGCTGGCTGGCTCTCAGTCACTTCCCCTGCTACCCACAAGCAAATTGGGCCCTTGTAGTGCTGATTCCCAGGTGGGTGGGTTTGTGTGTGTTCTAGGACCCTGTGGGTCTCTTCAGTTAACTCTCCTGTGAGGCTGGGAGTTTCTCCTACCCCCACACCCCCTCAGGTTTTTACAGCCAGAGGTTTTGAGGTTTTCCCCCCTCTGGGACCCTGAGTTGTGCGGTCAGTCTCCCCAGCTGTTACTCACGGTTTACCCACATGCAAATGTGGGACTATACAGTCCGCCAGCCGCCACCTCCCCTGTCCAGTCCTCCAGCCGCTGCCTTGCTGCACATCCTTTCCTCAGCTGTCCTTCACCCCTCCTACTGGTCTGGATGAATGTTTCTTCTCTAGCTCCTTGGGTGTTGGGCTTCCATACAGTTTGATTTTCTGGCACTTCTGGTATTTTGTTTTGTTTTGAATTTTTTGTCCTTTTGGTTGTGTGAGGAGGCAGTGTACCTACCTACGCCTCCATCTTGGCTGGAAGTCTAATTTCATACTTTTTTGATTATTATTTTAAACAGCTTAATACAAATGCAGCCACTTAATGAGGGCAAGGTACAGGGGTGGTGGTGGGTAGATAGAGGTAAAATAAAACCAGGGGGCTCAAAGTTGAGGATAGTTTTATAGGTTAGAAGGAAAAAAATAGGTTGAAAATTTAGATGTATAGGAGGAGCTAAAGGATATTCCATATCTCACAATGAGATCATGAAAATACATTTCTGATTTTTTAATTAATATCTAGTATTGAGAAACATTATAGCACAGTGGTTAAGAGTACACATCTCGACACCAGACTGCCTAGGTTTGAAAACCTACTACAGTACCTACCAGCTGAATAACCTTGGGTAATTTCTGCATTTGTCAACTTATCTGTAAGATGGGTATAAATAATAGTGTCTACTTCATACAGTTGTGAGAATTAAATGAGACAGAACTTAGTTCCTAGCACATAGTGATGTTTAATAAAAATGTCAGCTATTATTATAATACTATTGGCTATTACACCTTGCTTTGCCATTCAGTTTGTGAGTACGAATTTGGTTTCAGGTTCTTGAAGTAAAGGTTTATAATGCTTTGGGAAGCATGTTTGTGGACACATATCTTGCTTTTATTCCCTCAACTTGCTTATTGTATATAGTGTATAATACTTGAGGATATAATCCTTGAGCATTCTATTTCAGATCCATAGGAACCTGATAATACAAAAGATTTGCAAAAGGTTTTTATTAATCCCCTCTTATTTGGCTGAAGGGAGGTTTTTGTACTGATTGGGTTTCACTTACAAATTAGAATATGGAAACCAGGAAACATTGTCCTTATTCCTTTGCTATATAAGGTTAAACCTCTTTTTAAAAACATGTTTTAGAGAATTGTGGCTTAATGGTAGGAAAATGAAAATGGAAATTATTAACCACCATCATGATATCAATAATATTGCCTATTCTGAATTTACCACATACTGTAGAAAGTTGTCGTGCTTAATTTTATTCTCTAATATCAAAATTTGCTTAAAGCAGAGGTTATTTTATAGTTTACCACTCATCAAAAGGGCTCAGATATTTGGAGTCAAGTAAAACTCCCAATTTTATACACATTATTGAGGACAGCAGTTGTCATAATCTTGATATCAAAACCTGACAAGGTTAGTTCAAAAAGGAAAAATATTAACCAGTCTCACTGATGGACATAGATGAAAACTCTTAAGTAAAAATTTTAGCAGGCCAGATCCAACACTGTGTAAAAAAAGATGCTATTTAGTTACTCCGTTGACTCAATCCTAAGAATATGATGTTGCTTTAACACTAGAAGGTCAGTTAATGCTGATTAAAGGACAAGATTAGAGTGCTCTTGCATAAAAGCAGGTATCTTGTTCAAAGGGATTTGTGCTATTCTGTTTTTTTCATGTCTCTTTATGGAATTAACTTTGTATGTCACTGAAACATATCACCCAAGGGCCGATAAACGCTGAAGTATTTTTATGAAGAGGATAATATAAGCATAAATTTAAACTAATGTAAAACTTGTTACAAAGGAGTAGCACTATTGTTCTTTTCATTGTAATTTGTATTTTATTTAATAGAGCTATGTCTTCAGTTCTCTCTTGGTATGGTTTTCTGTTGAAAATTTATGTGTCTCTTTTGTAATCATGGCTACTTGATCTCACCAAGAAACCTAGGTTTTTGAGGGCAGGAACCATGCTGGCGGGGTGATTGCCATACAAGCTTTGGAGCTTGCTAGGCTTAGGGTTTATATCCTGCCTCTACCAGGGAGCTGTGGCTCTGGGAACCACTCCACCTCCCTTGACTTTCTGTTCCCTATGGTTCCTGTGATAAAGATGACAGTAATTAGTTGTTCATACCTTCTTCTCAGAGAACCTCATGGGCCACATCCCTAGAAGGAGAGCCACATGTGCCTTGCCATCGCTTCCCCAGGCCACAGCTGCACTAGAAGTGCACAACTGACCCCGATATTCAGGGGTTCCACCTCTCTCCCAGGAATGTGGAATTGGACAACAGATGCAGAATCAGTTAATCTGAGGAACCGCATGCACAGGCATGTAGAGGTGAGGGCGGCGGCTGTAGTGGGGAATGAGAAGAGGAAACCCATCTAGTGGCGGTGCGGGCGGGGCGGGGGGTGG